TCTGTTCATTTCATAAAATCAAATTGCCTTATTTGTTATAAAAATTTAGCTCGATTGGTGGTAATGATTTTAAAGAGTGAGCTGTCAATCGACTTGTATTTTCTAAGAATGCCATGCGAAAATTTAGGTGGATGGATGGACGAATGTTTGTTAGAGTTTGTAGCCTAAAAGGCTGAACGGATTTGGATGAAATTTGTCATAGATGTAGAGCATAGTTTGTACACATAGGCTATTTTTTTAATACCACGCCGACTGAGTCTTGTGAGAAAGTAAAATGATAGTGTATTAACTAAATATGCTTACTTGGTGAACAGAGAGCCGCAATTAAATAATAATTGGAGACGACAAGGTAAGTTATGCTTGACATATACATTGCGATAAGCAGTATACCATTATCCTCGTTAATATCTTTTATGATGTTACAAATTGTGACGTAACAATCTGCGATCTCACGTAAGCTATTTTCTGCTGAAAGAAATTCAATCGACGTTAATTTGTGACTTAGTTGTGATATATTGTGATACGATGTTGAAAAAATCTAAGCAACGACATTAGTGAAAAAAAATACAGTAGTGATTAATGTCATCTCTACTATTATAATAAAGCGTAAACACACACTTCTTTGTTGCCTAAGATGTCAGAAATTACAGCATATTTTTGAATAATCCTTTTTTTTAATAAAAAGCCCTACACTTACTTCACGCTTTAGGCTATACATTTTCACGCCATTAAAACTAGGGAGTAAACATTTTGGATAAAAACCTTAACGTGGGAGAGAGACCATAAGTTGCTGCCAACATCAAGGAAACAAGATTGTCAAGGTTTGTCATGTCATGTCATTTTGACATTTGCAATTGATTATTTGACAAATGTAAACAATAAAATAAAATTTTCATAATTTCATGCAAATGAAGCCGCACGGGCACAGCTAGTTAGTGAAATAAAAATTACAAATAAGTGTTATAAGTGTAAATAAGTAAAGCTTAGTTGATTATAAAAATGAAGAGATGATAGCTTTATCTCTCTTCCAAGCAAGATGAAAAAATAAAATCTATTATAAGCCTAATTGTTTACCAGAGAAATTGACGTCGTATTTGTTATCAAAAGTTTTGTAAGGAACTCTGCGTTTTTGTTCGACTTCAATACGACGTTGATACAAATACTCCTGGCCGATATCCGTTGAAGTTTTCATCAAAATTGTTGAATATTTCACTGGAAACATAGATAATTTTTTGATAAAACGTTTTACCGCATGAACGAAGGGATTTACAACATTTTTTTTGTGTATATTAATATGGTTTAGTGTTAACTGTTTGTGTTGAAAATTAAATAAAACGTACAAAGCGTCGTATGACTACAAATTCGTAACCAAAACTTAGGATCAAGGAGATTAAAAAAAATATAGAAGGCGCATAGTTGACCCTCATCATCATCTCCCCTGCCTTATCCCACTCCCGTAGGTTCGGCGCACTGTGTTTTCGTCCTCCAAGTAACTCTATCATGCGTCATCTCAGTCATCACTCTAGGTTGATATTTTTATTTATTTTATAACAAAATATAAAACTTATAGTTTTGTAAAATGTTTTATTGCATAGTACAAGGATACGTGGTGGCACTAAACTTGACAACTGTTTTAGTACCTTCAGAGAAAGTACAAGTGAAAATGTTTCAAAAGTTCACTATGTCTATGTATTTTTTATATTTTTTCTAAGGACTTATAAACGCAATAAAGTTATTTTCATATTTAAATTTGCTGTCAGTTACGTGTTTATTTAAAATAGTTAATAGTTATAGTAGAAAAAGTTTGAGTCATTGTTCCTTTAGCCTACTGCAAAGGATTGGAACATGTTGCCGGCATCAGTTTTCCCGTCCCAAAATAAAGTGGGGGCTTTCAAAAGGAGAGTGAACAGCTATCTACTAAGCTATTCCGTACCATCTTTCGACTGCACCGTCACTTCCTTCAAGTGGGATCGTGATCAAGCGAAACTTAACAAATATATAAAAAAGAAGTTATAATTAAGCAGTGGGTTCTTAAAAATTACGAACACTTTAAATCCAGTAGTTGTATTAATTCCCGCAGGCGATCGTTTATTGTTTTGAAGGCAGATTTCGCCGATAAGATGACAAGTGCAATCTGCATATGCAGAAAGAAAGCCATGCTATATTTAATGTATTGACTGCCGTATAAGTGGACTACTATCACTGTAACAAACAATTTAAATGTTAAGAGCACACCTTTTACTAAACTATTGCACAACTATTTAGTTTCCCTTTCATTCCTATGAGCTTGTATGGAGTTGTGCACACTATTCGATTTTTAGTTCTCCAAGCAGTTGAATTGGCTGCGAAACAATCGACAATCGCACAACAATTATGCGATAGTTTAGATTCAAAAGTGCGCACACTGTAATGTCTTAGTTTAGTAAATTACTTTAGAAAATAATCCAATAATCTTACTTATATTATAAATGCGAATCTTTAGATGGATGGATGGATGTTTGTTTGAGTTTGTAGCATAAACTGCTGAACTGATCTCGTTAAAATTTGGCATACATGTAGAGCTTAGTCTGAAAGAACACATAGGCTACTTACATTTGTTTTTTTTTTTTAATTCCACTCCGACGGAGTGCGGGCGAAAACTAGTTATGTCTATAATTATGTTTTTGTTAAAATTACTTACTGCTTTTCCCATGTGTCATTGCGTCCATAACGTAGTAACCAATGTCCCCAGCCATAAGAATATACATGCCAATCATAATAAAAATTATAGTTACAGACAGCTTCTGCTTCCTTGGTGCTTTGATCTTTTTTAATTTCAACTTTACCTAAAAATCGAGCATTCTATCAAAGTTTTCAGAATAGGACCCAATTTCATCGAGTTAATTTTAACAGTAGTAGAGCCCGCTTTAACATCTTCACAGAAGACGGGCTTTTCTAGAGAGGAGAGGATGAGAAGGAAAATTGGATTTGATAGTGGAGGAGAGCATAGGAAGGGGAAATATTATCTTTATGTGCGTCTACTCCTCCTTCGATTACGGTAGGCAACGCATCTGCGATTGCGGATGTCTATGGGTAGCGGTCACTTCGCTATTACGGCGAATTCAGGTGGCCGCTTGATCGTTTGGCACCTTGTAATGTAAAAATACTAATCACAAACGCTATATTATGTACGAGTATATCTTCAAACTTGTGAAATTAAACAAAAATACTTGCATAAGTAAGTTATCTTTTTAATTTAATATTAAAATTTGGCATTTCGAATTTATTCCAGACTTTGAGATTTATCTATCTCTATGCCAAATAGACAGATCCGTTTAGCCATTATGTTAAGTTACATAACATCCATGCATCTAAATTTAATGAGTAACTTTTGGTCGGTTTCCCAGCTGCGTTTAACCATAAGTTAGTGTTTTTGGTTCGGTAATTTCAATTTCATGGAATGAAACACTAGTTAATCTATATCAATATTATAAAGAGGAAAGATCTGTATTTTTGTATGTATTAAAATAACTAAAATATACTGAACTGATTTTAAAAATTCTCTCACCGTTAGAAAGGAAATTTATCAGAGAGTAACATAGGCTATATTTTTATTTTTTAATTTCACGCGAACGATCTCACGATCATCACCTAGTGATATAATAAATGGAAACTTCAGTGACCCAGCATTAGTAGGATATACCTTGTCAATATTTTTCAAATGTTCCATAATGCGTGTCATACGGTACGGTCCTTGGAACACGCCGAGACCCGTGATGATTAAAATCGATGTAACGTCAATCAACCATACAACCAGAGACGAGATAGTGTTCACCCTGATGGCTTTCTTCGTCCTCACGTCGAACAAATCCAAGACCAGGCCAATTAATGTAAGAATATCTGTAATTTTTATTAAGAAGCTAGCTTTCCTCCACTTTCATCAGCGTGGAATTAAAAAAAAACGACAGCAAGTAGCCTATATGTTCTTCTAGACTATCGTCTACATCTACGCCAAATTTCAATGACATCCGATCAGCAGTTCAGGCTACAAACTCCAACAAACCTTGGCGACCGGGCGTACATCTTTGACTAAACTATCGAATAATTGTTGTGCGATTGGCGATTGTCATTGTTTCGCTACCAATTTAACAGTTTAGTTGCATAACTAAAAATCGAGTTCGCCCTTCCATAAAGCTCTCGGGGAATCAAATCTAGACTAAACAGTTGTGCGATAGATTAGTCCAAGGTGTGCGCACTCTTGTAATATTAGTAAAATACTTGCTTAAAATAATTAGAATAAATCTGCTATAATGAGTCATGAAAGAAGAATTCTGCGCATAATATTCATTGTTCCTCGGCTCCAGCCTCAGTGGAGCTACGCCGTGAATACGCGAGATTTGCAGCACCAAAGCCAAAGGTCCTCGAACTAAATATCCTGGAATCTCCATTACAACGTCTTCTACACAAAATAATCAGTACCACAGTGAAGTGATTTCTAACCTACAAATTCGTAATGTTTTTTCAATAATAACTATGTCCAATTCTTATTATTTTAACCAACTGTTTATGTTCTGCGTCGGCTTCGAAATAATTATAGGATAACAAAATATTATTATAACGCTTAATATCGTGTTTTAGTTATGACCTAGTGAGTACAAACACCAATAGAAACTAAAATAATCCTAAATATATCAATGATTTTTTTTTGTACCTAGAACTTAAAAGATCTGGCAAAGTATTATTTTCATATAATAATATGTAAACCGAATTCTGTTTTAAAACTATTACACAGTTGATTTTAAATTACAATAAATTGCCGTAAGTAATTTTAAATAATTACTCGCTTGATTAAATTAAAACCTTGGAGCTGTGACTCCGCCAGGATGGCGCGCAAATTCAATATGTCTAATCACATTTGACAGCTGTCAGATAGGGACTTTATGTTTATGCAGATAACATAGTGTTGCCAATTCTACAGCGCGGTACTAATTCTCTTTTCTAACAGTAAATGAAAAACAAAGTCAAACACCAAATTACATTTATTTACAAAAACATGGCACTACAATTAGTCTATCCGTGAAATCGGATTACAATAAAACTCGTAAAACATTTCCTTCCTTTTCACTCTTACTGAGAAAGAGCAAGACGACACTAGGTTCTTTAGTTTCGTCAGCGGAAGCGGTTTTAACCGGATGAAGCTGATATTACTGTAGAGGAAGCTGTGCCTAGCAAGCTGGTGCCGAACTGCAGCAGCGCTCTGATGATGTCCAACTTCAGGGTCCAAAATGGAGACGCCGTTGAATCCGTCGAGCTCAAACTAGACTGTAAAAGTATAACACTTTGAGCCATCACGAAATATCTTTCATAAACAAGTTAATACAATGAGAAATCATTTTCTCATTAAATATTAATTTAAATAAAAATACCTCGTCGAAGAAAAACATGAGTATGCCTGTAAATTAAATAAAACTGCAGTAAATGTGATACATTTTAATTATTAAAAATTACTTACATAAATACTTTCATAACTCTTTCAAAAATGACTGAAACCAGTACATATTATATTATATTTTTCGTTCATTGCAATACATTTTAACCTACATGTTAACGTAAAACAAGAAAGTAACTAAATGTATGTAAGGAATATTGTGAAATTATTAAATATGAAGCCACAAGGATATTCTCTCGTTATTCATTAACGATGGGAGCTACCCCCTGAACTTGATTTGGACATATCTCCCAACAATGACATTATAAAACTCGCAACAAAACCACCAGAATCTGCCATTGGCTTATTTCCATCTTCAGAACTTGCGTCTGGGTCTCCGGCCTAGAAAAGAATACGTTAAAGTTTATTAATAACGTCACTTAAAAACTAAAAAGTAATTCATTAAAATCAACTTACAGCGCTTGTGCCCTTAACTAACTTTAATAGAAAATTTCCAAAGAACGCGCCATTATTTTGCTGAAAGAAATAATTAATCTTGATACTTATTTATCTTAAGAAATATCTTAATTGATCATTATTAACACTTATGTCAACGATAATATAGAAATGAACTCATCAGACAAGTCAGCATTTAAAGTGTTAACATACCGCTCCTCCACCAGTTATAGTATCCAATGAAGTTAAAAGGTAACTGGCAATAACAGACCCTGGATTCTCTTCTCCTTCTGACTGTAAAAGAATATTATCAATTGATTCAACAATACAAAAGTGAAACGATGTAGTGTTTAAAGATAGAACTAACAAGTTTCAAACAACGATGTTAAAGAAGGAAGGGAAAGCGATAGCTGGCCTTACCAATATATCACAAAGTAGCTTAGATAGAGAAAGAGGGAGCGAGACAGAGTTAGCTGTAAACTAATATTACCAATTGATTCAACAATACAAAGGAAGTGAAAAGATGAAGTGTTAAAAAAAATCTGCCAAGTTTCAAATAACGATTACTAGAGGCCTAGAAAAAGAAATATAGAGTTATAAATGCAAACCGTAACGTACTTTAGTATTGACGACTACGTACCAGTAATCCAGCAAACAGTCCAATTCCAGAAGCTATGAGACTGTTCAAATCAATACCATCTCCCTGAAACAGGAAGTATTATCAAGACCCCTTTTATTAATGAAAAGAAACAATCCAGCTCTTTTCTCTATGAAATGCTCAGAATGTATTACTTTTCCAAAAATGTCTATCAGTGTTATGTCTTAACTTATTTCCTTCTTATGTACGTCCCCTTTAGATCTTTTGTGTTTTTTTTTCTATAATTTTTGATTAAATATGTAATTCCAAATATTACTTACACTAAGATTTGCAACAATTCCGCTGACAGTCGCTAAAAGAGATCCTAGATCTGATTGGCCATCTTCCTAAAATCATAACACTGGTAAGTTGTGGTCGATAACAAAATAAAACTGACAAAAAGAAAACTTACTCCTCCACTTAACCCTGCTAAAAGACCTAGGATACCACCTCCTCCTCCATCCCCACCTCCTAAAGGTTCATCAGAATCATAACCCGAATCATTATCTTCTATAGAATCTAAATTAGAATTAGAATTTTCCTTCGAAATGTTACGAATATTTTCTTCTACGTTAACACCTTCTTTTGATTCTTGAATTTCACCTTCAGAGGATGTTATTTCACTTTCTTGTTTTTGAAATTGAGTCTTCAATTTAGTTATTTGTTCGTTTACAATTTCATTATCTTTCACAAATTGACGACGAATCGATTTCACCATCATTTGTTTTATGAACATATTTAACATATTCTCGACAATCTGAAATCACGTTAACAGCATTAATTGTTAGAAAAATAATAATTACATCATTTAAAATATCGAAAAAAGTACTTACTTTGTGAATATAGGACACACGAAAAACTTTTAGGTGCAATCCAGTCCAGTCTATGTCATATTTAACACTCGAAATGTGCATGCATAATGCATAGGGTTAAAAAAACGAACACAGTCACGAACACTTTAAAAAAATCGAGATATGCAGAAATTGAACGCGAATCGTGAAGCAAAACGTGCTAAAAATAAAATATTGAAAGTGTAACTACCGAATTCAGAATTGAGAAGTTGGTCACTCGAGTGCAAACAGTAATAGAAATAGTTTTTATAGGAGAAAAAGGTAAATGACTACGGCATCTCTTAATATTAGTTGATCTCACGACCACAGCACTAAAGGAACTATAGATGCGGGTTTAAAGAAAGTTATTAGTGAAATCAACAATATTTAGTGCATAAAGTTCTTAATTGTACCAAAAAGACCATAGAAAGTAGAAGAAACAATTGCGTGAACAGTATGCATAATTAAAATATCAAAAACACTTACGTTAGCTGAACTAGATCCTGGAAATAAACCGGTGACCAAATTTAGAAGACTGAAGATATTACTGCCGCTAGATGGCGCTGGTGTCAGGTCATCGAAATCATCGTCGTCGTCAAACGGGTCTGGAGTTTGTAGAGTTTTTTCCGTAGTAGTGGTACTTGTACTGCTTGAAATACTTTGTAATTCATTCTGGAAAGAAATATCAAAACTGCGATCTTTACTTATTAAAAAACAAGCCCCGTGTTCGCACGGTACCAATACTCATACGAAAATGTGTTTATTTATGTTTATTTTGGAAACGACTAAAATTATAAGCATTTCTCTACTACATTTTTTTATTCTACATAAAAACTTCTTGAATCACTCTATCTATTAAGAAACTAACTCAAAATCCGTTGCATGGTTTTAAAGATCTAAACATACATAAAGACAGACAACGGGAAGCAACTTTGTTTTAGGTACGAATATATGGAGTGATCTAATATTTAGAAAATATTACAATTAATTCAGCATTAGATTTTTTAATAAATTTTATCACAACAATCTGTCATTTTAGTGCTTAGCATAAATCAAAAATCGTTTTTAAATAGTCCTAATACTAGTTATATTAATAAAGAAATGGATCGCTTACAAAAATAATAATTATATTTTACTCACCGAATCTTCTAAATCATCTTCAGCCCGTCGTAACCTAATCGCGGGCGTTGGTGCACAAAATGAATTCGCAAGAAGTGACGTCACAAACAATAGGCAAAAACTCTTCCTTTCCATAGTTACTGCTGGAACACAATTACTACAATGAGGTACAATCACACAAACATAGTATATTTATCGTGCTTAATGAAGCCCTACAAATTAAATTATCGCAATTTTAATTACAATATAATGATCATTATACAAAAAGTTATTGCAATATGTTGCGACTAATTTAAAAATGGCAATACAACTCTATGCAAGGTATTTTTCGTAAGTGATTGAAAATCCGACAAACGGATTGTCTTATTAACTTCTATTCCAGGAAATGCGTACAGGATGTTTCAAATAGTACAGTTTATGTCAAGGTATATGTGTTCTTTGTTACAAAAACATATTGATATCTCTGTATACTTAATGAGAATGAAAAGGACAACAATACTTTTTAATAAAGATTCTATAAAAATGTTTTCTAGAGTAAAAATTCGGGACAACGTACTATAGTGATCACAGATAACACAATGCTATCTTACTAATATCATAAATGCGAAAGTTTAGATGGATGGATGTTTGTTAGAGTTTGTAGCCTAAACGGTTGAACGAATCTGGATGAAATTTGGGATAAATGTAGAGCACAGTCTAGAAGAACACATAGGTTACTTGCTTTTGTTTTTTAATTCCACGCGAACGATGTCGCGGGCGATAGCTAGTAGTAGTATAAAGGTTTAGTATACTTTTAACTGACAAAACGGAAGTGGATACTGACAGCTGACGACATTTCCACTCGTCAGTCTTAATGATGAAATATTCTCGCTTGTATGATCAGACGCCCCTTGATACAGGTTGATGCAAAACTCGTGTCTCCACTAGTTAAAAATGTGGTATAACGTCGGTGACGTCATAACGGAGTTCATCAAGCTATGTGTTAAATTGTTGCTCTTTTGGTGACCAGTTTTCTATACGTATTCGATCCTAAGGGTTAATATTTAATTCCTTGACTATGAACATATTAAATACCTCGTAATAAACCACTAAAAGTAGTTTTGCAGACAAGGGCAAGCCAATAACCATTATAGTCTAGGTTAGTAGTAATTTTTTTTATTACAATGGGAATGGTTCAGTGAAAAATTGACAAGTCATTTTTGAGTTATCTGTGAGGGTCTTAGTATTTTTAAATCATTTTCATAGCAATAAAAAAAACCTGTGCTAAACTTATTTTTACTATTGAATTTCTTAATTAGACAAAAATAAGAAAACCAGTATAATTACATCATAGTACTGCTTTATATTTTATTACATAACAATTTACGCGGAAATATTTAGCATAGTTGCGGTTAGTGGTTAAGGCGTATCCCTAGATAGAGGTTTCTAGAAGCATGAAATTGGTATTACACTAGCTTTCGCCTGTGCGTCCGACCGTGGTATTTAAAACAAAAGAAAATAGCCTATGTGTTCTTCCAGACTATGCTTTACATCTATCCCAGATCTTATGAGAATTATGCAAATCCGTACAGCTGTGTAGGCTACAAACTCTAACATCCAACCATCTAAACTTTCACATTTATAATATTTGTATAATTTAATAAATCCACAAGTAAATCAAGATCATACTCACATTTTATTATTGCATATTTTAATAGATTTTGAAAATAAGTTTACTTACATATCCAAGTTTTGATAAGCGTAAATACTTTTTATTTTATTCTTAGTGGATTATTTCAATACAAAATACACTTAATGAACTTATTTGTAATTTAACATGTGTTACCAAGTAGTACGTTAATTGGAGACTGTTGTTTTTTTAAACGAAAACAAAACACTTGAACCGAAGGTCGCAAGTTGTTACAAGTTTAAGAGAGCACACGGCCTTTCGAAACTGTATTAACTAAATGTTTTTATTTTAGGTTGAATAAAACTTTTGCAATTTGGTGATGTGGTATTGAGGTTGGTATAACTTGGCAATTGGGAACAATCTTCGAGTCATTGCAAAGAACATAATTTGAGGTGTAGCTCCCCGTGACCTTTCACGTGTGCAAAGCGCAGTTGATTTCGAACTGCAAAGATATTTGAAAATATCCCTTATTGGAGATGTTATGCGGATTAGAGCTAAACAATAGAAGAACGTATATTGCTTTCCTCTTAATAATAACAATCGAAGTGCGTCTTTCGCCACTCTTAGCTACATTTCTCCTTTAGGCTACATAAAACAAAACGTTTGTAACTAAAACTTACTGATAGCTGCCGCCGATAAGGCAGCCCTTGCGCAAATCTTGTAGTACCTTAGTTTGAGTATAGTTGCCTATTGTAATTGTGCAAAAAAAACCAAACATACCATATAATTGGAGTGTTTGTTAGTAATATGAAAAGAAAAAATGCAGATTTCGAGATGACGTTTTTGCGTTGCTGATAACGAAAATCGCATTTAATTTTTTTTGTATCTGTCAGTCTGCAAGCCGCGTTTATTCAGGGTAATCGCCCCGACTTAACTTGAAGGGTAGCTGACATAGACGAGTATATTATAGGCTACTTGTTTATCTTAATATTGCGTGAACAAATTCGAGGCCAACTGCTAGTAAATAAATAAAAACTGAATTAAATTAACGGTTATATATAAAGCACGCTAGTATTTTATTGAGACTGTGTTATGCTTTATTTTCTATACAACGTACATAGTGTAAACGGACTTTTACAATTGCCTTACTTCCTGCGACATTGATTGCGTCACTTTCAATGTCGCACGCACTTGCACAAGCAGTCGTTTATAGTAATTACTGAATGGAAATAAACAAATGACGTCATAAAATGTCATTAACATTTTTACGTTCATTTATTATAGTTTAATATTTATATTGTGAAACAAGCCCGCAAACTTCGTTAGCGCAAATTTGGACCACCCGTTACGCTATTTTGACAGTGTAGAATTAAAAAAAAATAGCCTTTAATATGCCCGTCTACGTCAGCTTTCAGTGAAAATCCCGTTAAAACCAGCCCAGCCAGGAGATTACCCGGAACAAACGCGGCTTGCGGACTGACAGACAAAAACATTTTAAATGCGATTTTCCTTGTCAGCAACGAAAATACATCATGTTCTCGAAATCTGGAATTTTTCTTTTGATATTACAGACATTCTAATTTTGTTATATCTATAGAAAATAGATATGGATTAACAAAAGAAAATCACGTTAGTTAAGTATTATGCAAACATTGACAGCTCGGAACATTGTATTTGCAGTAAAACACAATTTTAGATTACGAGGGTCTAGAGGGATGTGCAGATTACCTTAAGGCGCTAAGAAGACATGTAGTTAATTGGTGAACAAATACAATTGGCAATAAAAATTACATTTGATATTGAATTTTATTTAATGATATTTCAAATCGACAAAGTACATAAACATAGAAATAAAATAAACATACATGATAATCGATATAATTCACTCAGTCCCAACGGAGGCATCCGCTCTGGGTGGTTTTAACTTCTCCAGTAGTGGTATCGCCACACCCACTAACTCATCCCAGGCAGCCAACCGCCTGCATGGTTCACAACCACATTCATCTTCTATAGTTATATCCCCTTCTTCGAAACCCAAATCCTCCCCAGAGTATCCCGTTCTATCCCAGTCTTCGTCTCCTGAACCATGGTGATCATCGGGCTCAGCTTTGCGCTGTTTAGGATCTTCAATGTGGAGTCGTTGATTATCCAACTCACCGAACTTCGCCTTTGAAAGAAACAATTACTATGAGCTCCGCTGAAATACCTGTACCACTGACCTTTAAAAATGGACAGACTATAAAAAAATTTTCGCTATTTCAAAGTGGTTGGTCTATGTAAAGAGTTAACTGTCAAGAACATTAAAAGGCGTGAGTAAGTCGGAATAAAGCCAAATAATTAATTTCCAAATCGCCTATCCATTTATATATATCAGTGCTTTACAAGAATTAAATCTCTTTCATCCTTTAAAGATAGCAAACTCCAAGGAAGAATACAAAACGACTGCTCTCTTAAACATCCCATCTATAGAAAATTTAGACGTGAAATCATTGAGGTAGTAAATTTATGAACTGTCTAATTTCAAAATATGACGGTGACATAGTATTTGAATACTAACGTGATGTCGTTTGATATCCGGATCACAGTCGTCGGAGCGCGGCGCGGCGCACGCTGTGAACACGGAATCATCGTCTGGAAACGAAATTTTAAATTTTAAATTAACTCTATCTGTAGGACTAGGTTGTAGATTAGTTATAAGTATTTTGTTATAACACAATAAAATGTGTAAAAACGAAGTAATCTAATCATTTGGCTCTGAGTGACTCTTGAGATAGAGAATTGAAATATTAAAATCTGTTATAATACAAAAAAAGATATTGATTGTGATGTCATAGCGATAATCGGATCAAAAACACTTTTTTAAGATTAAAAGTAATAAGAAAATAACTTTCTAAAAACGTGTTTCTATATAAAATAAATAAAAAAAAAGTTTGACCCCGACGTGATTTGAACACGCAACCTTCTGATCTGGAGTCAGACGCGCTACCGTTGCGCCACGGAGTCGGTTGGAGTATGTTGTAAAATTAACAAACTCATACCTCAAAGTTCGAATTATTTTTAATTATTATGATTATAGTATTTGCCTTGATTTTATAGAACAAAAAAGTAATCGAGTTATCTGCTTACAGGATATTATGTAAACATCGCTATTTATAAAAAGTATTTTTAAAGTGTAACATTGCACGAATTTCTCCACGTATACGTTTAATATTTTTTGTTTATACATAAGTTGGCCAACGAGCAAGCGGTCACCTGCAACTGCTGAAATGGCGAAGTGACCGCGGCCTATGTGTTAAACATGGGCAGTTGCAGAAGAGTTGCGTCCCTGAATCGACGGAGGAGACGTACGTAAAGAGGATATTTCCCTTTCAGATGCGTTTCCTCCGCCATCAAATCCACTTTTCCTTCCTATCCTATCTTATGAAAACTGTAGTAAGGAAAAGGGATTAAAATTAGGCCACCAGTTAGGATATCTATATCTATACTAATACTATAAAGAGGAAAGATTTGTATCATAGAATTTTTCTATGTATTGCAATAACTCAAAAACTACTGGACCGATTTCAAAAATTCTTGCAACATTAAAAAGCTACGTTATCGCTAAGTAACACAGATTTTTTTTTATTGATAGGATTATCCTATTGTTACTTGCCAATAAACGCAGCGAGTGCGGCAGTTATAAGATGTGCATGCGCGGGCGGCAGGGGGCGGTGTGCATGTGAGTTCCAGAGCGCGCGGGCGAGCAGCGCGGCGGCGGGCGCGTCGCGGGAGCTGGCCGCAGCGCGCAGCGCCGCCGCCGCCGCACCCGCCGCCGCCCCGGGCTCCGCGCCGGACCCGCACACGTTCACCAGCACGCCCGCCGCCGCGTACCGCACACTAGCGTCCTCTGTACCACAATAGACAAAAGACAACTTAAGGTTCGAAATATTTAGGCAAAAAATCCATCCCTATATATACATAAAAGTATTTATCTGTTTCTCAGACAAAAAATACCTAAACATAACCTTAATAATATGTGATAACCATAATAAATGCTAAAGTTAAGATGGATCTCGATGAAATTAGACAGACGTAGACGATAGTCTGGAAGAACACATTAATTTCATGCGGTCAGAGTCGCGGGCGAAAGCTGTTTTTCTAGCGTTAATTTAAATACTAACCGTGTTCCTGAAACGGAGGCAATGCATCAAGCGCACCCTCTAGCACCAGCCACCGCGCAGCGCGACTCGAGCGGGACAGGTTGCCCAGCGCGCGCACCGCCTCGCACGCCGACAGCCGGCACGCGTCGCCCGCCTTGTGCAGCCAGCGACAGGTTGCTGTAGTGACAGGTTGCTACATGATGACAAGTTACTAAATAATGACAGATTACTAAATAATGACTAGTTGAAACTTCACACTTCGCTGTCATTTAAACTATAAACAGTTTTCAATGATACAAACTTGCGAAAAAAAATTGCTGTAGAGAAGTAAAGAAAGAATAAAATAATAATTAACGACAACGATTTTCTATACGATTATCTATTTTATATTCTCTACAATCGAGACACTGATAAATCCATAGTGGCATCTCTCTTATTCACTATAAATAAAACAGAGACAGCATTACGGGAGTTACCTTTACAAAGCTGTTCTATATGATCGTCCAAAGGATCCAGATTCTCGGTAGGCTCAAGATAGAAGGTGATGTTGTTGAGGGTAGCAAGAGCGGCCGTAGCTAATTCCTCTCGACGATCCATGTTCCAACTACCGTCGTTGATTTCTTCAGTTTCACTAACCTATAAATGTAAGTAACTTTAAATACGTGTAAAAAGTGAATTATCAAATAATTTAATGATGCATTTAACTAAAATTTGATTGTTTGTTTACATACCAGTTTATCAGGAGCTTTCTCTGCTACATCAAGACAGGCAAGCAGAGCTCTGATAGTTCGTTGGGCATGATGCATCGCAATACCACGTCCGGCCAGATCTGACAGGCAGAGGTTGGCCACCACACGTACCGTCTGCAAAAACCACGGGTTTTTATTCTATGGTTTTATAACCTAGAAACTTAAAAATTGTTAATGACATCTACCGTACCTATCATTTATTTAGTATGAATTTACGAGAAAGTCGAATCCTTTCTTAAATTTAATTAAATATTCTATTACAATACCTTAATCAGAACATCTTCGTTCGAGCCATCTGATCCACCTAAATCTGAACCTGTATAGAATGCAAAGATTAGTAAAAAAACAATTATTGTAGCTATATTAGGTATTTATAGTTTTAGACGCTTACCAACCAAATGTAGGTCGGTATCCTCTTCCAAATCTTTAGTATCTCTGTCCTTGCGTCTTGTATAAGATTCTAATATAGTCAGAATCACGTCAATACCTCCTTCTTCATTATAAATCTATACAACAATCAAATACAAATATATTCATAAAAGATTAACATTTGTAATTTATAAATATTTTATTGGCAAATTGATCATTTACCAGTAGGATGTTTATGGCTTACGTTTATCCTAGCTTGTTCATCCGCGGCGGCCATGTTGCCTAGAGTATACGTCAGTCTGACAGCGAGCGCGGCGCGGGACGCACACGCCGCTAGCGTTCGTAATAGTGCTCGAGCGCTGCACGGCGAAGTACACAGCCATTCACAACACGCGTCCTCGGCTGACAAGACGCTGGAAACATCAATCTTTAGACGAACTAGCCAGCAACTTTAACTAACCAAATCTTTAGTATAGAAGTGAGTAGCTACCTTATAATAGAGATAATTTTAATAGCATCAACGTAATAAACATTAACAACTAGAGCCTCCAGGCAGAATGGCGAGCTATTCCAAGACGTCAGAATGACATTGACAGATGTCAAATAGGGACGGGACGTATATGCCAATAATCTCTAGCGCAGTACTGATTTTCTTTTTAACACTAATTAAGTAGTTGTAATTGAATCATATCACGGCACGAGCGTGTAACTGGTGACATGAAAGATAAAATTAAATTTGTTGCTGTTGACATGAAAAACATGATCTTTGACGTAGTTTAAAATCAGGACCGAGAGCTGATACAGATTACAAAAAACGATAATAACCTAAGACATCGCGCCACATTAGTGAGCACATCTCTATCAGTGTGCAGTGGTAGAGCAGCCAGCAGTTCCCCGAGCGCGCCGCTGTTGACAAACGCAGTCGCTGTCTTCGCTCCACCATTCGCCAGGTTCCGCAGCGCTCCAGTCAGCTGATATAGTGCGTGTGTAGCTTGCTCCCGCACTTGACGTGGTCTTTCTGCTTTCTAAAACAGAAGATGAAAATCGCAAAACATCATCGCTTGGTTGTTTAATATGCTGTAAGAGAAGAAAAGAAAGTCAATAAGACTTTTATTAAACTAGTACGTACTATCTATTGACGATATAAAGACCTCTGGTTTAGTGATTTTTTTTTAATATAGTTAACTAGATTTTTTGTTAATTTACTAATCTTTCTTTTACCATTCCAACTAAGCTTTAGGATTGTGCTACGATATGATTTATGACAATTGTCCTATGGCGGGATTGAACCCTCGACCACGTGATCGGAAATCCGTACCCCTAACTAAACTATTGGCGTATAATTACTTCTGCTGGCCAAAAGTATGGAGCTAAATGAAACTGACCGCATTATTGAATATCTTGAGATGCAGCGCTGCGAGGTGTAGGGCTCCGGCCTCGTGTGCCAGTACACACAGCCGGGGCTCCAGTGCGAGGAACCGGAGCGCCCCCGCGCCGTACACGCAACATTCGCTCTCCGCCAACGGGTCCGCTCGACCACATCCTTCCACAAGGAGTTCTACACCAAATTAAGAATCTCATTAGTCGATAAACAGTAAAAAAGTAAGTAATTAATTACAATAATACACGTGATGGGATGATAAAAATCCAGTGTAATTTGATAAAAGATCGTATTTTCACCTAATAAGTTACTGTTCCTGAAGAAATGATCGTTTTTGTCGTTCCTTGCAATTTTGAAGACCAACTTGCACGCAGCAGCCAAATGTTTACCGGTTACCCGCATCTATAAGAATATTATCGTTATCAAAAGACATTACTAAACTATACGATAGAATTTGATAAAGTCTGTATTTACCGTAAGCATAGCTCTAGCAATAGCCACCAGTATTCGTTCATCTTCATTATCAATATGAACATAGAGGGAGCGGATGACCAGTTCACGCAGATTGTTTGAAGGCGTAGACTTTTCTAGAATGTTCTGCAGCGGTTCTAATAATAGTAGAGTCTTCTCAACGTCATGACTGCTCTGTGTTGTTAATGCTTCTGCTAATTCTAGAGTTGTCATACTGTAAACAAAAGCATAACTATGAACTAATGTCGACAAAAACATAAAAAAAGAATTACTACATAACTATATAATAGGAGCTTTTTTTAAAGAAATCGATACCGCGCCGGAGTAGCAGCGCAACACTATTTTGCAACGCCCCGTCACTATGACATCTGTCAATGTCATTCAGAAAGATTTAGGATGTGCGCGCCATTCCTGGCGGCAATCAGTAGACTGGGAATCCAAGTATAATTATTGTTACAATCATATTATTTTCTAAAACTGTCTTGCTATAATGGCTGCCATGTATGTAATTTAATATTGTTCTGTTAACATCTTTTAAGTAGAAGACAATATTCGTGTCGTTTTAAATTCTATCGTTTTATTTATTTGCGTACCTTTCATAATTATCATAAGATGTATTAGGAAGTTGTAGCGCTAGATGTCTGACTGGAATATCTCCGATACCGGAGCCATCACAAGATACTGATTTTATTATTCCGAACGTACGCCGTTTGCTTGCTGCTGTATCACCATGTGCTGGAAAGTAACAAAGATATTCGTGAAGAGTAAAAAGAACTATGAAACATGTAGTCCAGTTGACTTTCTTTTTAAAAAGGTTATGTCAGCCTTCAAAAGTTTATGCGAACTCTATTTCTGTTTCTTCCATAAAAGTGCTTAAAATTAGAACACTATTAAGCGCCAATACCTTGGTCTGGGGTACGGAATACCGATCTTGCGGTCGAGGGATCGAATTCCGCCATTCGACTATTGTCGTGAACCATTTGCTAGCACAAGCCTAGAGCTTACTTGGAATGGTTAAATAAAAAACAATTTACAAAAGTTTACTAATATTTTCAAAAAAATCAAAAAACGTCTTACGTTTATTCCCATGTAAATCTTTGGATACGTTTTTCGTTGATTCCACATCACTCTTTACTCCTAATGGTTTTGTTATCAATATACTTTGGGATATACTAGATATTGTGGACGGGGCTGAAATTATTTGTTATACATACACCTCATTACTATAAACATCGATTTGTCTTGCCTTTGGTAGCTCTAGAATAAGGAATGATTGGAATGGGACATAAAGGGAGTGTAGACTGAGATGGCAAATGATAGATCATTCTGGAGAACGTAAACCACATAGAGCTAGATAAGGACAGATAGATTGTCTCACCTTCTACTGTTATTTGACCTGTTGTGTTTCTCCGATGTAAAGGTTTACTTCTACCACTGAGATGTGGTAATTTGGTAAATCCACTCCATGTAATGCCATCTTTCATCTGAAAAAAACATATTGCAATTTAAAATATTTGCTAGATTATCAACTCTCCTAGCTTATCCCCTCTTAGTCTTACTCCGTTAGGGTCGGCGCACCAGGCTTTCGTCATCCAAATAACTCTATCATCCGTCATCTTGATCATCACTCCCTTCTTGATCATGTCACCTTTCACGCAATCCATCCATCTCTTTCTACGTCTACCTCCACCGGTATAACCCTCCACGCTCGTAAATAACTTTTTAGATATAAAATAAATCACGATTAAGCGGGATAGTGTTATGTACTACCGAATTATCCTTCTTCGTTGTATGTTTATTATCTGTTTTATGTTCTGGACTTGCTTCTTCTTCAGCAAAGCTCGCAATGCGTTTGCTCGTTATCGGAGGTCCTTCGTTATCTTCTGTCAGACTGAGATACTTGAGACTGTTAAAATACAACAAAAATGTTACTAATATTATAAATGCGAAAGTTTAGATGGTTGGATGGATGTTTGTTAAAGTTTGTACTTTAAACTATTGAATGGATCTCGATGAAATGTGGTATAGTGTATAGGATAGTCTGGAAGAACACATAGGCTACCTGCATTTGTTTTTTAATTCCGCGCGGAGGGAGTCGCGGGCGAAAGCTAGTGAATAAATGTCGGTATCAGATTTTATTTTACATTAATATACAGGTAACTTTTTTTATAACGTAAGGTGACAAACGAGCACGTGGCCATCTGAATCCACCGCAATGGTAAGCGACCGTTGCCCATAGACATCCGCAATTATTACTATTTAGGGACTAGGTACTTTGGCTGCAGCCGTAGCTGTGCGGTCCCCTTTCGTATTGAGTCCAGTGTCCAATTTCCACTGTCATAACCTTGCGCTTACACATAATCAGTGGAAATAGGCACTAGTAGAAATTATTATTCAAATTTAATTCATCTTAAATGTTCTTACTCAAATGCACTAGGTGGTCTGGGGTCACGCTTACGAGCGCGGTCAGTAAATAGTGTGCGTTGTGGCTCGCGTGGCGTGAAGGGCCGGCGCGTGCGCAGCGACCGCAGCCCGCCCACACTAGAGCCACTCGATGTGCCGCTCATTTCTGGGGAATTACTGTCTAAAAGTTATCTATACTTATATTGTTTTGCAGTAGATGTCAAAAAACAATCGGCTACTTAGTACTTCATAGAGATAACGGTTAAATACCGGACAAAGTGAACACTTGTGGACACTTAAAGCCTTAATAAATTACAGATGAGCAACAGCGTCGGGGGACAAGAGATGATGCTATGAGGTGTATAGATAAAGGACATAAAGGACAACCTCTCCTACCCCTTCAAATAACTTTCCCCTTTCTTTAAATACCCAAGCAATTACCGAGTAATTTTATGTATGTGCCGATCATAATTAGTTAAGCCGTTTCTTCTACGAAAAAGAAATATTTATTATAATGTATTTCCCGTGGCAACCGTATAACAACATTCTTTAACAACCGCTTCACCTTAAGTTCAATGACCTTGGAGCAAAATATGAATCTTTGGATAAATTGGTGTCGCGTGTAAATGGCTGAATCACGCTATACATGCTTATAATACCTTTGACAACTTGACACTGATATATGAAGTTTGTGATTGAAACGAAGAAATAATTACTATGATACTTAATTCAAAACTGAATAATTTAAATAAGAAGTTATTTCCGAACTTACTTGATTAAAAATAGCAATAATCATCTCTAGAAAAATTGCCTAAACTTTTGTGACAGGCGATAAAACATGTAGTAATCACATTTACCAATAACATTATGTTATTCAAATTTATAAAGGATTATTATTAACTTAACATAAAGAGTAATCGTCGTGGAGACGATAAGCTACAAGAAATTATTTAGATCAAGCCAATTTTTGCTTTTATTGACCATAAATTGCGTCAGAGCGTACAAAGACAAAAATTGGTAACCGAGTTTTCGTGACAAAAATAATTTAAACGTATATATTTTAGGTATAAAACAATAATACATTATGTAATAAGTGATAAATGACGTAAATCGCGACATAGAATTGGTTATGCCGTGACTGGAAGTGATTCATTGGTGCGACATTCGCAAGGTGAAATGTGATGTCGTGCGGAGTTATACAGATCTAGTGTTAGGTAAAGACATACCTGTTTACGGTTCAAATATTTCAACCCAGAATAAGATATAATAAAAAAATAACTATAAATAGTTAATAGTAAATAAGAATTTATTGAGCTAGCTAACATTGAATGGAGTCGTGGTCAAGTACTAGCTTAACAAAATCACAGTACGTACCGTCAAATATAGCAGCTCTTGCCTCACTGATGATCTCCGCAGAGGTCTTACGCCGCGGGGGCGCGTAGAAAGGGGCGCCAACACTACGTCGAGGCACCCTATCGCCCATTGCCATACCTGAGAAACATATGCAAAGAAACGGATAAAAAACAATTAATAAATAAATACTTTATTTAAAACCTAATTAATTAATCTACGAACATTTGGGCCGAATACTAAAACGACATTAAATGATAAGGTCACGTTTAAACTCCAAATTCCATTAAAATTTTGGCGTCTATTGTAAAGCCGGTATAAACGTTCAGTTTTATCTGAACAGTCCAGTGACAATCAGTATCAGAACAACAAAACTGGGAACCGTTCAGTACTCAGTTCCATCAGATTTATCTGAACGATCGGAGTGGTCAGATAAAACAGAGCGCGTGTAGCGGATTTAAGCAGCACGCGGAGCTTATAAGCAAAGTGTTTAACATTCGTTCAGTATTCTGCTGTATTAAATTATACCCGTCTTTTCAAAATAAGTTATTAATGAACTTTAAAAAAAAGATTTAGAACATTCACTGGTACTATACTGTAGGAGACGTCGAGATAGAGTAACCGCAACTAAACCAACTGAATCAGTTAAAGTATACAATTTTATTAAAATCAAATTACATTGCTGTTCCTAACTAGGACAATAGCATTAATAATCTATTCATTACAATAGACACCAGGTTACTGTGTCAGTGTTTTTATGGCCCACATTCAAACTATCCTTTGATAGAAGCCTTCGATAAGTATCGTCATACTTAATAACTTTTATAACATACTGACACATAAAAATTATAGCTTTTATTGATTTTTATAATATACGATTAAAGATTAAGTTAGAACTTAGTAATGGAACAAGCAGATTTCTTTTTACTAAAATTTAGAATAGCGCCTAAAACTTTTTTATAGCAACAATTGTTTAGATTTTTAATTTTAACTTGAAACAACAGCACCTACCATATTTCAAAGCAAAATTAGAAACTATACAAGTAGTTATGTACAAATTTGTCTTCTTTATATATAAAAAGAAAACAAAATATTCTATTATTCGAGCGCGAGCTAAAACGATTAGTTATTATAAAAGTTTAGAATATGCTGGAATGCTGTTTGTTAGTGAAACACATTTTAACAAGAGCATTGAACTTATAAGTGAAAAAGTGTTACGGACAGTTTCATTAAAAAAAGTACTATAAAATATAACAATCACATTTCGATGATTATAATATAAAATACGTTATAAACTTTCTTACCATGAATTATTCAATCGAATGGTTGAAATATTTTTCATATCAAGTTGAACAAAACACGATAATTTGCCTACGAAAGGGCGAGCGTCGTGCTACGATACCCAAACACAACTGCATTACAAAACATCGTAGCACTCCGTAGCACCGTAGACGTTAATGATTACGATAAAAGTACCGTAGTGTGAATTAAAAAACATCTATTAACTTAATGGTAGCTTAAAATTTTTTATTAATAATTAGGTAATTTATATTAAATAAAATTTTATGTTATGCCCGAAGTACACAGCCATAAAAGCGAACTCAAATCGAAGCGAAATTAAGTATTCTATGGGCGAATTGTTACTTGCAGTAGTAGAAACCATTCCTTAGTGTCCGTTAAGGTCCAGTAAGGGACATTTTCCTTTTTTAAAATACTACTATATTAAAAAAAGAGTATGAGAAAGCTCTGAATAAATGAATACGACCCACGTTTTCCATTTTAATACGTCATACGACACTTCAAGTGGTTGATTCGAGTGTTTGATAAACATTGTAATATCAAATACTTTATACTAGTAATTTGTACCAATACAATACATACGGGAATATGCACTAATCATACTTCATGCTAATATTAAAAATGCGAAAGTTTAGATGGATGAATGTTTGTAGCCTAAACAGCAGAACGGATTGAGATAAAATTTGGTATAGATGTAGAGGATAATCTGAAGGAACACGTAGGCTGCTCACTTTTGGTTTTTTTTTTAATTCCACGCAAACGGAGGCGGTGTTTTATAAGTGTACACGTACGGATTTTCTATTCATAGGAATTGTAGTCCAAAAATCATTCGATAGACACATTTAACTAAAAATAAATACTAACAGTATAAAGAGGAAAGAATTGGATTTTTTTATTTATTGCAATAACTCAAAAACTACTGGTCCGATTTCAAAAAATCTTTAATCATTAAAAAGCTACGTTATCACTGAATAACATAGACTATATTATTACTACATCTGTAACGCCGCACGGAGGAAGAGTTTCATCAATAAAAAACGCTTAGGAACGCAAATAGATAAATGAAATTTAAGAAAGAAAAATAACAATATAATTTGCACTCTTCAACATTGTTTGCGACAAAACGCATCGATCGATACAGTGTTTTGTTGTGGCAACGGATACTAAGATCGGTTGCTTAGGAATGAGATTAGGGAAAACTATCGAGTCATTATTGCAATTTGTATTAACCAAAAACAATAGCGATATCAGCTACAAAAGGTAGGTAAAGATTTATTCTATTTGAAGAATTGAGGGTTACAAAGTAACGTTTCAATCCAGATTTTTACTTTTTAAATTAACAAATTGCTTCTTATATAAAAAAACTAATGCTTATTAGACAACCGGGATTTGCTTATACGCTGCAATAAAAAAAAACCTTCGAGAAAAGAAAAAGTAAATTCAAGAAAAATAATGAAAACGGGATTGACATATCATTTATAAAAGGAAGCAATTAAACTTTTCGATTAGCATGGCCTTAATTTACAATATTTCAATATTTTACATGTAAAAATAATAAAATACTAACATGTTTACGAAACGCATTTTTTCCATCTTGATAACCCCTGACATTTGTGACAAATAGGCATAGATATTAAGAAGCGTAACCTACCTGTTTTTTAATTATTTATTGTCTATTACTTTAAAACATTCAAGAATAAAACGAAAAATGCAAGGATAAAAACATTTTTTTTTATTATTTAAATTAAAATTAATAATAATAATCTCATAAAATTTTGTCCATCATAACGTGAGCGTCAGAAATTGAATCCCTGGAAGACCTACATAAATAATTTAAAAACTACTTTACAGTTGTTCAGTAAAATAATAGTACATATAGTGCATTCTCATTACAATAAAAAAAGCTGTTTTCACTATTATTGTCCTTGATTCTCCCCTCTCCTCTAGATTACTATCTGCTAACCATGAATGTTGCCAACCCATGAATGTTTTCCCTCTTATACCTTAAATGCAGCTCTGACATCTACTTTGAAAAGCAAGCACATTGTTTAGATTAATAAAACTGCGATGAAAGTTTTATTTAGTGTATTCAATACGTATTTTTTAAGATAACAAACAAGCGAGTCGCCATTAAATTCGCCACAAAGGCGAAGCAACCGCTACCCTTAACTGATGAAAGGAGTGACACAATTTAGAATATGTTACCAAAACAGATTTGGCTCCAAAGATTTTTTAAATTATTATAACAAGTTAAAATAATTAAGCAAGTTTACCGACCACTTTCTTTGCAATTAAGCAACTAGTGATTTATACCAGGGTTCTGGTTCCATATTGTAATACTCAGAGTTAGGTTTCGGTGGTGTTTCATCCATATCCGGCTCTTTGAACATATCAACATAAGATTTCTTGATGCCGTACAAAAAGAAGGCGACGTATGGAAAATATTCTGTCATAAATATCGTCAGTCTATAATACCAGTTTAATATGACCCGTCCAATAGATGTGGTGTAAACAGACATTATGAAAATTAACATTGCTAATTTGATTTTGGAACCGAAAGATAGTTTTTTGTATTCTGGCGCTGTTTCTAGACTGTCGTAATCTTTGAGGTAGAGTAAACGAGGTGTGGTATCTGGGAGGCCTTGGATGCTTGTTTTCTGAATCAATGTTGAAACATCTACACCTGTAATAAGATACATGTGTATGTTAAAAAACCAGTTATATATACTAATATTATAAAGAGGAAAGATTTATTGTAGTTGAGGAAAGATTGTAGAAATTACTACGCCGATTTCAAAAATTCTTTCACCGATAACACCGATAATACGGTACGTCGTTGCTGAGTAACATAGGCTATGTTTTATTCGTTTTTTTTTTCAATTTCAAGCGGACGAAGTCGCACACTACAGTTAGTAAAGTATAATCTTAATATTTTAATATTATAAATGCGAATGTTTAGATGGATGGATGTTTTTTAGAGTTTGTAGCCTAAACTGCTGAACGGATCTCGATGTAGAGAGAGGACAGTCTGGAAAAACGAATAGGCTACATAAGCCATTAATAGTATAAAAAAAATCTAAACGTGTTGTTACTGAATTTTTACAATCAAAACGTAACACTATACAAATAATAGTCAATAATCTACTATAGTATATTTACCAGTATCTTTATGTTTTCCGTGTAATTGTTCTTTCAATCTTTTCTGCAAGTTAATTCTTTCGCCTTCTGTAATAATGTACCCGGGGATGTCGAACAGGTTCTTTGTGATGTACATGAGACTGCCGGCCTCCGACGCCCCCATCACCGCTCTCAACCCGTCCATCATCACACGAGCCATGTGCTCGAAGTATTCCGGAACATTCTCTAGGCACGGAGTGTACACTCGCTCTAAAATTAATTGGAACAACTCGCGCGTTTCATCTATGTTTCTCCGACAGACGTTATATCTGTAATAAAAAGAAGCAAGTGTTTGGAATTTAGGCAAATGTGTAATAAGAGAAAACTTAGTAAAGATAAAAATGTATTACAACGCCATCTATCGTTTAATGCATGTTAATTTCAGCTCATATAAAATACTCTTGTTTTACCTATCTTCTAATCCGAGCATGTAACCAATGACAGCCCAAAAGTGGTTATACGCCTCCCAGTCGTCTTCCTCCAGCTGTCTCAGGCCGAAGCGGTCCGGCTTCAATATTCCAGGGCCGACGAGACCGAACAGCGTGAGAGCGACATCTCGTTGTGAGACTGTCCCTTTCTTCTTCAGTCGAGCTGCGCGGCCATTTTTTATATGAGCACTTCGTACGGATGCAATTGATTTCCATGATCTGAAAAAAAAAATGCATAAATTGTTTAAAATAGTTTAATTTGTATTTAAGTAATTAATTCGTTTTTTTATTACGAGATGGCAAACGGGCAAGCGGCCACCTGAATCCGCCGAAATAGTAAAGCGACCGCGGCCCACAGACACTCTTAAAAGCGGATGTGTTGCCTACCCTTAATCGACGGAGGAGGAGACGCACATAAAGAGGATATTTCCCCTTCCTATGCGTCTCATCCACTGTCAAATTCACTTTTCCTTCCCATCCTTTCCTCTCAAGAAAATGAGTGAAAAGGGACTTAAATTGGGCCTCGTAATTATATAAATTTATTTTGTGTAAATTTAGCAAGCGTTTGCATTGCACATTCGGTATCAAAGGTATTATGTGGATTAACAATTATTTATAAGTCATGTATGTCATTAATATTACGTTGTCAGAAAAATACGTAATACATCATAAAATTTGAGTAATTGCGAGAATGTATTCATTTTTATGATATTTTAGTGATCTTTACTCCCGGTAGGGGCGCTGATATCTAATACTTTAAGTCCTCAGTAATACTTACATACTCCCCGGCTTTAGATCATGTGTCAACCATGACTGGAAGTGTAAGAAAGTGGCAACGTATCGTTTGTAGGCGGTATACGTGGTAGATGATCGTCTAGACCCAGCGAGCACTTCTAAGATGGTAGGGATAGCGAATAGCGCTACTAAGCCTGGTAACATCGAGTAGGAAAAGCCGAAGCTAAACCTCCAATAGAAACGTTGTCCCCTGGAATGGAAAAATTGGGTAAATAATTAGCGTTATAAAGAGGAAAGATTCGTATTTTTGTATATATTGAAAAACACAAAAACTACTCGGCCGATTTTAAAAATTCTTTAACCAATAAAAAGATACGTTATCAGTGAGTAACATTAGGCTATATTTTATACTATTTTTTAATTCCACGCAGACGATGTCGCGAGCAACAATTAGTGTATAAATAAAATTTAAAATCGATAAACGCATTGTTTTGTAGTGGTATTAAACCCAGGATCTGTGGATTGTAAGTCGAATTTTTAACCCCTACACCATAGATACAGTCAACCAGCCGCAGACAAGTTTAGGTATTTGTATAAATTCAACAAAATATAAAATAAATGCTTACTTTTTAAACAGTTTTTCATCGTACCATTTTGGCAGCTCTATTTCCAGTTTTTCATGGCTCACCGTATCTGATGGTTTCTCGTACGATTCTTTACTCAAAAGACCCTCCATTACTTGATCCACTGAAAAGATAGACGATATTTAACATTTTAATTTACTTCTTCTATTCAAAGGTGGATTACGAAATTGTAAACGCATTTTCATAACATGGTTAATTTGTATTAGATTTCCGCAGTACACAAAATAATCTCATAGAGTCGATTACGGAATACTTTCTCGAAACTGTCATGCAAATATTCGAGATATACCCTCAGAAGTACACAGTTTGTTTCGAATAGGAATGTATGTATGCGTCAGAGACGAACAGACGAAAAAATAAATAAATACTATAATGAAACATCTACTCAAACACATCTTTCATCGAAATGCATTCGTCAATAATTATTGTTATTTTTTTAATTTTCTAAAAGTGTTATGATATAGAAAATTTTATTCGACATTAAAATTTTCTTTACGTCAATATTATTCTTATTTAACGTGACCTTGATAGCGATCACGGTTTTAATGTGTGGAAGGACGGTGAATGACCTTGTAATTCGACTATGACCCCCAGCGCTACAGTAGGCGGGAGGGGGATAATAATATAGTACTATTCAATCTTTTTGGCTGCACGGGCTGCCAGAGTCTAGTCATTGAGAGGAAAGAAATTGCATAAATTGAACGTGAAATTGTACACAATCACATAAAGCTATTTTTAATTTTTATAAATCTTCGATTAGGAATTATATTAGAATTACGATCAATAGTTGGCTCCTATAGTTTTAGTTGTACGCAGCATCTCGTGTAAATTTTCGAGCCGCTGTAAAGTTTGGATATCAATATAAATGTGTAAACTAGTTTAGCATGGACAGTACAAAGTCCAGAGTCCAAAGTACAAGGCGAATGTCATCTCAAAATTATTATAATCCGCTGATGTCATCTTTTCTTTGTATGACAATGTTTCGCCAGTGGGCTCCTTTGCTTATTAGAGTTTTAACACTTATATGGTATTAATATTACTAATTTCAATAATATTACATTTTATATCCGAAATGTTAGATTTTTTTTTTATAATATAAGGTGGCAAACGAGCAAGCAGCCTGAATCCACCGAAATGGAAAGCGACCGCTGCCCATGAACATCCGCAATTGCAGATGTGTTGTCTGCCCTAATTGACGGAGGAGGAGACGCACATAAAGAGGATATTTCCCCTTCCTATGCGTTTCCTTTACCGCCAAATCCACTTTTCCTTCCCATCCTTTCCTCTTAAGAAAATGGTGGAAAAGGAAAGGGACTAAAATTAGGCTTCCGGCACCACACTCATCAGACGAAACGCGGAATTGCTTCCACTTCACGCCTGTTTTCTGTGTGGTCGTGGTATTACACTTGGCGAGCCGGCCATTCGTCCTCCAGTAGATACCAAAAAAGACTCTACCTCTATGCGTCTACTGTTTGTTTATTTTTTTATTGTAATGAAATGGATGCTAAGACGTTGATGTTAACAATGCTCGTCTAATCGAGTATAAATGTTTGGCTCTGTGAAGTATATATTTAAAATAATAAGAATAAATGACATTTTATTTATATTAATTCGATAACACGTAATCAAATATTTGGCAATGCAAAAGTAAGAGAATAACAAAAATAAACGCAATAAAGCCGATAAAAAAAGATAAGCGTTACTATGGTATGTGTTATTGTCTATATCAGTAATTTTCAACGTGGTTTATGTCTGCGGATACCAGGGGGCGCTGAGGTTCGTTTCAATACATAAAAAAAACCTTTGAAATGGTTCCACAACGAAATAAAGTTTAAGAACGTCTGGTATGTATGGATGTTAGAGTTTGTAGCCTAAACTGCTGAACGCATCTCGATTGTCTGAAAGAACACATAGGTTACTTACTTTTTTAAATTCCACGCGTATGGAATCGCGGGCAAAAGCTAGTTATTAAACAACAAAACATACCTGTTAAATCCATGATGACTAATGATTTATCACTTAATATCTAGAAGGACACAGTTTTTAGTATATTATTTTTTATTCCAAGGACTACTTTACGCTACTTCATATCGTATCGAACTGTTCATTGTGAATGAAATCACATCTATTTTATAATAGTGCAGATAAAAAACATGACAACATAAATCATGTTTAGGTATTTAGAGTCGCTAAAACTTGATATCCGAATAACAATATCAAAGGTCAAAGTCTATATTTATGATTCTTTCGATAAGGTAATGAGTTCCGTTGATGGGATTATATACGTTGCAAATTCTTAACCTAAACATATACTTGAATACATAAACTTAATTTGGCTCCTAAAATACATAGTTATGGAGCTATAGAGCGGCTGGCAAGAGTACTAAAGCAAATGTCTATTTTCTTATAACTAACGTCTGCGACTCCGTCTGCGTGGAATTTAAAAACAAAAGTAAGTAGCTTGTAAGTAGCGTGGTCTTCCAGACTATCCTCTACATATATGACTTTCATCGAGATCCGTTCAGCAGTTAAGGTACACAATAACAAACATCCATCCATCCAATCTATCGCGTTTATAATTTAGTAAGATAACAAATCTGAGATTTGTCTTATCCGTTAGTGCCATAGACACATTACTAGGAATCGAATGAACTGTACTTGTATTCTGTGTGTTCGTGGAGCAAATTGTAACAGCTAACAATGAACTGTTTTATTACTATTTAAATTGAAACTCATATTTGGCAAACCGGAAACTTTAGTATTATTACATTTTGATAGCTTTATTCTTATCGTTATCATACGTGATTAGTTCACCCACTGATTATTCAATAGCTGTTTTCTAGACAGAGGTCAGATAAGAGGCGCTGATTCGGTTTGCCGTAGACGAGGAAGACGATGACGGTTGAGGACCTATTTCAAAATTTAAAACAAAAATTCAATTTCCGATAAAGGATCGATTATTGAGAACGTTTACCCGGGCTTAATTTAGGCTTCGACGCCGTCTATTAACTTATAGTAACTATTAGTGAGATTACAACAAATTGATTCTTAATTAAGCCTATACGTATAGCCTGATCCATTAATCCAATATAGCATTCCTTTATTACCATCCTGCCTTAAGGGCAATATCAAATCAATCAGAGAGGTTCGTTGAAAGTGGGAGATATTTTTATAGCGGAGAAGACGGGGCTCCAGTAATTTCATTTGAAAATATGAATCTTTTTGTGTCTGTTGTAGCGAAAATGTGTCACCATTTGTTAACTCAAGAAATTTCCTATTCCCAAGGGGAAAGGCAAAAGTTCTTTGCTGAAAAACTTCTTTAAGTATAGAGTCTTCTCCCCGACAAACGAAGTCAAAAGCATTTCCTAGTTAAACTGTAAGGTACAAGTACTTCCTATAATAATTTACGTTTTTGTATTAAAAAGGGAAGAATTTCCCTCAAATATGGTAATAATACCTCGCTGGTAACTTTAAATGCTCAGAGGCGCCCTCCTGTCAATGTCAAAAAGATGCCACAATATCCTTGTGGCACTATAAAATAAACAAACATCATAAAAACGGCAATTGGCTTATTAAAGGTCGAATTCGCATACATCACAAATTATCCATAAGTTGTAAATATGGAGCTTCAAGAAAGTAACCTTTTCTTTCACGATTTATGTCGCTTGTGCCTGGTAAATGTAGGTACAACATTTATAGATGAAGATCTACAACAAAATGTTTTTATTTGTACCGGTGTTGAAGTAAGTATTCAGATGAGTGCTGTTTTACATGATTAAATCTTTGTTTATTGAATGAAAATCAATACAAATAATTAAGGTATCAGTTGCAGATAATCTTCCAAGTAAAATTTGCGTGACGTGCAACGTAATTTTAAACAAAGCCATCGAATTTCGAGAAGCTGTAACCAATAATGATTCTCTCTTAAAATCTCTGTATGACAAGACTAACAACGAAGAAGTAAGTTCTTATTAAATAATACTAATTCTATTTTGTTACTAAAACTTGAGAATTAAGGTTTGTAAAATTAACGGCCCGGATTTCGTCACAAAAGAAATTGATGGCGGTTGCCCATAAACATCTATTGGTTTGTTTAAATGACTTTTTTATTAATGTGTACTTACTTGTTTTTATTTTATTATATTAGATAATTGAATACAGCATAGTAATTAAGGAAGAAAATGAAGATTCAAATGAGGACACTGAAAACAATTATTGTGAACAAGAAACTCTTGACAATTCAAATACAAATGATAATTACACTTATTCATGCATTGTAAATTTAACGGTAAGTATGTTAATACTCAAAAATATCACTAAGGGCCTGTCCCACAATATTGTAAACTGTCAGATTACAATCCAACATGTAAAATATTGGATTTTGTTCCCTTATCTGACAGTGTCCTCATTTTTAAGTTATCTGAGCCTCTATCAGCCAGCGGTGGGACAAGTCCTTAGAGTTAATTCCATAAAATTCATGTTATATGTTATATAAATTTGTATTTTTATTATTTTAGTCAAATTCTACACCACTGGGCACTTTAACAATCAGAAAGGATCTATTTCCAAATTCAGTACAGGTAACCTTATGTACATATAGCTTATAATTAATTCTGATGAAAAGAGTTATCCATTATTCTAATCCAGTGCAGATTCAACTGGAAAAATATAAACCTACTTAGTGATGGATGGATTCTAGTGTTTTCATTGTAAACCAGCGCTAATTTCGAAAACTGGACTGGGATAATGTAAGCTGGGCATTACATCTTGCATTCTTGACTTCTCATCCAGTTAGCATGTTCCTCCTCCTTTTCATGTATATGAGCCTTTTGGTCTTTTAATGACTTTTTTGTTAGTATTGTTTATTAACTTTCAAATTAAATTTCTTCAGGAAAAACAGAAAGAAAGAAATAACTATAAAGATAAAGATACAATGAAAAGTCCTACAAATCAAGATAAATGTGAGGTAATGTGTAAAAATAAAAACTGTTTTTAATGTAATTTCTCATAAAGCTTATAATAAATTTCATGTAGACTATATTGAAACTAGCTTTTCCCATGCGGCTTCATCTGCATGAAATTATGAAAATTTTATTTCATTGTTTACATTTGTCAAATTATCAATACTACATGTCTAAATGACATGACATGACAAATCTTAGCAATCTTGCTTTCTTGATGTTGGCATCAACTTATGGTCTCTTTCCCACATTAGGGGTTTTTTTTTAATTTATACCCTTAAGTTTAACACCTTGAAAATATATAGCCTAAAGCGTGACAAAGTGTAGGGCTTTTTATTAAAAAAAGGATTATTCAAAAATATGCTGTAATTGGTGACAGCTTAGGCAACCAAGAAGTGTGTGTTTATGCTTTATTATAATAGTGTAGATTTAAAGAAAAACAAAAATAAGTAGCCTATTTGTTCTCGAAGCTATCTTCATATATATGCCAAATTACATAAAGATTCAGCCGTTTAGATGACTTCTAGCAAACATTCATCTAAACATTCCAATTTTATAATATTAGATTTAAGAACACTAGAAAAAAAACTCAAAAACATGTTTAATTATTTATTTTTTATGATATTCCTTTTATTTTCAGGAAACACACAAAGATAAGGTTAATTATAAAAAGAAAGTTCAAACAAAACCTGAATGCGAGGAAAAAGATATTATTGTTCATAAATGTCAGGTAAGATTTGAGAAGTAAATCATTTATTTTAATGTAAATTTCATGTTTTTCTTGTATTCTAATTATTAAATATAACTAGTATATAAGTAAGGAAAGTATGGATTGTGTAAAAGAGGATATGCTTAAGTAATGAGTGGATTCAGATATGACCGCTGATAGAGATGTATGGAAGCAGCACATACTGTGCCGACCCTCCTTAAGGGATAAAGGCAAGTTGATTATGAGTGGAATATTTGAGATGTACTATTATATGTCTGTTTGCATTTAGTTGAATTGATTTTTTTTTTATTTATGAGTTGATTTTATTAATAATAGTTGTTATGATTAAATGGATGGCTATGAAGGTAAAGGAAGACAATGTATGAATGAATTGTGTAAAAGAGAATACATTAAAGGGATTAAATTCAGGTTGGATGAAAGGGATGTATGGAAGTGTGACAACCCTAAGTAATACTTACTTAATGTTGTAAATGCGAAAATTTACATGGATGGATGTTTATTAGAGTTTGTAGCTTAAATGGCTGAATGGATTTTGATGAAATTTGGTATATATGTGGATAGTCTGGGAGAACACAAGCTACTCACTTGTTTTTTTTTATTACCGCTCAGTCGGAGACGCGGGCGAAAGCTAAACTATACTAATATAATGAGGAAAGATTTGATTTTTGTATGTATAGAATAAACTTAAAAACTACTGATCCGATTTTAGAAATTCTTTGACCGTTAAAAAGGTAATTTATCTGTGAGTAACATAGGCTTTATTTTGTAATTTCACAACAGCTAGTATTACATAGAGATAAATATATAAATAAATACATTACACACCCTTCGAGAGATTGTCAAGGAGAGTGGTCGCGATCCTCAGGAATGAGGTAACGATCCAGTGAGAGTATTACATAAACCTTATGAAGTGTGTGAAGCATTCAGCATTTATAGCTGAGCGAGGACCCAATCCAGTCAGCACTGCAATACACATTTTAAATAATTAGTTTGTCTTGTAATTACGTGTTTATTATTCATTCTTTTTTAATTACTTTGTTGTGTTTTTTTCTCTTATTCCTAATTGTGTTGTAGTGGTGATAAGATTAAATGTCAATTTATTTCAACTTTTTTTATCTTTTTTTCTAGAAATGTGGTAAAACTTTTGACACATGGAGAAAATTGTACCACCACACAAGACAGCATATGAAAACTAAAGAGTGTGATGATTGTGGCAAAATGTTTTACTCCAAATCAGATTTAGAGAAGCATATAAGAATACATACAGGAGTGAGACCCTATCAATGTAATCTATGTAAGAAAAGTTTTACACAAAAATGTACTTTGACCAGTCATAAATTTGCTGTACATTGATTGTAAGGGTCCATACAAACTGATTATTACAAGTGTCATAGTCAAACAAAAATGTTCTGTCAAAAAATATGTAAAATCTAAAACTTAGATAATTGCAAGATTCATAAAAATACCGAAAGCATCATTTAATTTGATTTATTCCAAGCTTAAATAAATTTACAGTTTTTTTACTCCTGATTGAAGACATGGAAAGTAAAATTAAACCTTGTTACAATTGTATAAAATTCAATTTTATTTGAAATTAAGAATCTGCTCTGTTTTTCCCTGGTCTATGTGAAAGGACTCCAATTTTGACCGACTTCCCAAAAGAAGGAGGTACTCAAGTCGTCTGTATGTTTTTTTTTTAATATATTGTTTTTGTTTTTTGAAAAGATAAATCCATTAGTGACACAGTAGAGGTAAATTAAGGACATGATTTAAAAAAATGTGATAGAAAAAAAAACACTGATTATTGATTGTATGTAACCTGTAATGTAGGTAACTGTTAAATATCATCATCCACTTGCCCTTATCCCTTATGGAGGGTCGGCACAGTATGTGCTGCTCTTCCATACATCTCTATCAGCCGTCATATCTGAATCCACTCCTTTCTTAAGCATATCTTCCTTCACACAATCCATCCATACTTTCTTCGGTCTTCCTCTTCCTTTGTAGCCATCCACATTCAATCTCAACACTTTCTGGTTTATGTCCCCATCAATGTCATCATCCCCCCAGGTAACTGTTAAATATAACACGACTAATATGATTATACCCTGTGAATATTGGAAAATTGTATTTAGTCGGATTATAGATCTTGGACAACACGCACGTCTTTTATTATATGCACCACATAACTAAAGAATCTTTATTATTACATCTAACTAATATTATAAGTGCAAAAGTTTGATGGATGGATGGATGTTTGTTAGAGTTTGTAGCGTAAATGGCTGAACAGATCTCGATGAAATTTGGCATAAACGTAGAGGATAATCTGGAAGAGCAAATTGGTTACTCAGTTTTGTTTTTTTTTTAATTTCACGCGTACGGAGTCGCGAGCAACGGCTAGTTTCGAATAACTGTGACGAGAAGCGGTATATTTTTGATTTACCAATTGTTTTAATGAACAAGGAGGCCCAACTTTAGTCCCTTTTCCTTTTAAGAAAAGGATGGAAAGGAAATGTAGATTAGACGCATGGGAAAGGGAAATAACCTCTTTATGTGCGGTTCGCAACACTTCCACTATCGCGAATGTCTATGAATGTGTGTAATGAATCAGGTGACCGTTAGCTCGTTTGCCACCTTATAATATAAAAAAAATATATTTAACGTGTCAATTCTAATTTTGAATGACCTCATCGTTTTGATGAAAGCTACTAAATTAGGCAAAAGTAAAGTGTTGATTAAATTTTAATTTAACCTAAAATCGAAAGATTCTAAAGTATTTTTTTGTGATTGCTAATATTTTTACGTAGGTGAGTTTGTATTCAGTTTAGTAACGCGAGGCCACATATTTCACTATATGTCTTCCAGTTTGATATTTTCTTGACTTTAAAGATTTTTGTTATTGACTATCATGTTTGATTTGCTGCAAAACGATGATTTACATCAGTAGAACAAAGTAAAATTCCTTAATGCTTATTTCCACTAAGCCGTTAGCCGCGCGACTCTAGACATGAAGCCAAGTGGAAATAGACACTAATATCTATTCACAGGGCTAAATGGACCCGGCTTTGTAAATAGATACTAAAGTGCCTAGTTTAAGGTTGTAAAATGTTGAAATAAAAATAATGCCAATAAAAACTTGTTTTTTTTATTTATTTAATAACACTTGACTTACAAATAGTATTTAATAAGTAAATACATAGTTACATAATGTACATAAGTCATTAAGTTTTAAAACCATTTTGATAAAAACAGTATATCTTAGTAAGATTAGAATAAAACCCCTTTTTTATAAACAAATGGAATTTTTAGCAATTTCTCTAACATCTAAACAATTAATTTTATTGTCTGTAATATAAAAAAAATCTTGAATTTATTACACAATAACATTTTCTTTACTAATGATTAGAAAAAATTGGTTTTTATTTAAAACTAGCTGTTCCCGTGCGACTTCATCCGCATGAAATCATGAAAATTTTAATTTATTGTTTACATTTGTCAAATTATCAATTGCTAATGTAAAAATGACATGGCATGACCAACCATAGCAACCTTGCTTCCTTGATGTTGGCAACAACTTATCTCTTTCCCACATTAGGGTTTTTATCCGAAATATTTACTCTCTAAGTTAAATGGCGTAAAAATATATAGCCTAAAGCGTGACGTAAGTGTAGGGTTTTTTATTAAAAGAACTATTATTCAAAAACATGCTGTAATTGCTGAGATCTTAGGCAACAAAGAAGTGTGTGTTTACGCTTTATTATAATAGTATAGATTCTTTGTCTGTCCGTAAGTCCAGACAACAGCTGGGATATATAAAAGTAAAATACTTTTTTTTACAAAATCAAATTAAATATTAAATCTAATTATACTATTCTTACATTAGGTCATTTTATAACCTACAAAATCAATGGAAAGCATAGAATAATAATAGGAATGTGCAAACAGCTACAACAAGACCTAGAATTAGGGAATCACGACGTTTACGAGCATTTATTCTGTAAATAAGACTGTTCAGCATCGGAAACCTGAAAAATTAAATCATTAGTAAATCTCTATAATTTTATAAAATAGTTGGAATAAACACGGAACCTTAAAGTAATTTAGTTCACCTATATCACTTAATCATTATATTAAAACAAAATTTACTATATACATCATACATTTAAGACAAATAAAAAAATATTAAAACAATGCTGTCGAAACTCAAAAACTTCAGAAACTTTGTTCAATTTTGTGTGGTAGTTTTTAAACATATAACTAGGATATTGTAACATTCACTAACCTATTTGCAATGTCATTGAACCTGGTCTGCATCCGCTTGAAACTCTGCCGCTGCGAGGTGAGGTGCTCCCGAGCTTCCAGCGCTATATTGATCTGCTCATCCACTAGGATGTGTGAACTATAATACAAAGATAGGACACACATAACATCATACTCCTACTAATGTTATAAATGTGAAAGTTTAGATGGATGGATGTTTGTTAGAGTTTGTAGCCTAAACTGCTAAATGGATTTTAATTAAATTTAATAAAGATGTAGAGGATAGTCTGGAAGAACACATAGGCTACTCACTTTTGTTTTTTTTTAAATGACATGCCGATGAAGTCTCTGGCGAAAGCTAATTACTTCATAAAGCGATAAATATTCAAATAATTATGTTGGATAAACAAAAAAAATATTACTTTATTTAAAGTAAGTCTAGTAAGTATTTTTTATTTACAAAGATTTTTTTACGAATTGAAACTCACATATATTGTTATTACATTAATTTCATCTAGTCTGACTCTAGGAGGAGCCAGCTAGTATGTTTTTTTTATCCCTTTTTCCCCTAATTATTCAAAGAATTTTGACAACCATTTACTAATAATCACTTTTCATACCCTTGTAATATTATTTACCTGTGCAAATGATTAGCTTCCTTAGCATACTGGTCTCGTCGACTGAGTCCGGCGGCGGCGGGCGGAGGGCTGCCTCCGCGCAGCAGTTCCTCCCGCTCTCTCCTCGCACTAACTAATGCTGATGTTCTAGAAAACTCTTGTTGATAATCCTGGGATATATTAATTACATCATTAATTTGCCCTTGTCTCTTTGGTGGGTTGGCACAGTATGTATTGCTTTTCCATATATTTCCTAACCTAACATCCACCCTTAAAGGTTGCCCCAATGTAATGTCAAACCTAGTAATATCCAATGTTCCTTTTTTTTTTAATATTAGTAGATTTTGTTTGTTATTTACTAATATTTCCTTTAACAATTCCAACTAAGCTCTAGGCTTGTGCTACGATATCGTTCATGACAATAGCTGAATTGTGGGATTCATACCCTTGACTGCAAGATTGATAGTCTATACCCCAAACCATTAAGGTCGCTTAAAAGGGCTTTGGGCTATTGTACATAAGGTCTACCTATACTACTTTTACTGTACTATATACTATTAAGATTACAAATCTAAATGCATCCAAGGATGAGACCAAATTTTGAGTACCACTTCAATAATGTTTATTTAAATCTCATATTTAAAAGCAAGTAAGCATTAATGTATTACAAAAATATGTGTCATGAAAATACATGTATTTATGATTTTTTTTTTAAATACGTTGTTTGTTTTGTTTTTGTTAAAAATAATTAAAACAAAACTTACCATAAGAATCTCTCTATGTCTTTTTATAGTGTGCATTGTAGCAGTGCCACTTGGTGCTAAATCTGCCATTGTATCATTTATTGTAGACAACTGCAAAAATAAAGGTAACCAAAATGACCCAATATAGTACCATGTCTATGGCACCCCCTTTTTTCTCTTTTCGGGATAGGAGGAGTGTAATGGGCTTATGTAAGACTGTAAGACAGACTTATGATGTCCCTTTCCCTCCAGTGTTCTGTGCGATAACCCAATAGCACCATAGAACATTTTACTCTACTGATTTCTTCTTTTTAAATACCTTATTTAAAAGTTGCTGTATCTCCATAGACATTGTATCAAACATGTCATCACTGTTTATCAAAGGAGCTGTCTCGGAGGATAGATTTGATGAGCCATATGTAACACCTAATTTACTAAATGCCACCAGTTTCACATCTATGTCATTCTCTAGATGTCGAGCTTGTTTTCTTAAATCTGAAACAAAAATGAATCCCGTATAAACATTAGTTTTTGCAAAGAATTTCTAATTTTCTATAGATACCAACACTTATGATGATATTTCTATGTTTAATATTAATAATATTATGGACAAAAGACTGTATATATATTATTATAAGAAAATCAATACAAATATACGCTGCAATAATATGATTATTAAAAGGAAAGTAGATAAAATTTCTTTAAGCACGAAAGTTCTACTTGATGGGGCCTTTTAATCGTTGCTGATGCAATGATTAATAAGTAAATTACAACATAGAATATTTTAAAAATAAGCCACAACTCGTACAACCATAATAATTATAAAAGCATAACCACACAAACATTGCAACGTCATAATTTCTAATTAGTGACACCGGTAGTATGTAAGATGTTTTATACTTTACCTTCCCAAGATATAGTCGAAGCCATGTTCATTTCTTTTAAATACTTTTATCAATCGTAAGAGTTTTCCAACGACTTAAAATTATATTTTATTGTTTACAAATTGTTTAGACTCGTAATAAACTCAAGGTCACTTTTTGTTATCGAAAAAATGACATTTGACGTTCAGCTGCAGATCATGTTGTGACGTAAAGGAAAGTGACGATGTTGCTATAAGTGCTAATGATGGTTCAACATAACTTGAAACAATCATCCCGTTTTATTTAATTTTTACTGAATTTAAGAAGGAACTAATAGAATGTACCACATCACATCACAATATATGTTGGGATTGTGGTCAAGCGTAGTATTGTTCTTGGTAAAAAACAAATTAGATTGCTAAGGGTAACACTAAACAAACTGTCAATTTGTCAATTGATCAGGTGTCAAAGTGATGTATGGCTAAGTTTACGTTTTCGCGGTATTCAGCAATTTTTAATTAATCTAAATGAGCATATTTTAGTTTCAGTTATTAAATAAGTATTTAATAATTGACTGTTATGAATGATTGTGCCCAGTCTAAATTACCATTACTTTTCGAAAGAATTTTGAACCAAATAGAAGAAAGAGTAAATAAAACTGATAATAAAGAAAGTTGTTATTTACTTTCTGAAATATTTTAATCTTTCCCTTTAATACCTACTTTAATTAAGATCATTTTTAGTTACAGACGAAGAACTGCTATCTTTGCATTCTCTATTTGGCGGAGTGTTACAAAGGGCTTTGGACATTTTAGAAAAACATCCAACTTTTGTTACGTACTCCACTGCAAATAAAACAAGACAACTTATAGAAATTAAAGGCGAAAACGACAGATGTTACCGAGTATTTCCTCGTATTAACTTCTGTCCATGTCTAGCATTTAAACATCAAGTATTGGAAAAGAAAACTCAGATATCTTGTAAACACATATTGGCTGCCAGAATTCAACAGATATTTGGTAAAACTGTGAACCACGAAATAACTAATGATCAATACTTAATGTTAGTTAAGTCAATGTTTGATTTAGAAGATGAGAATGGATGAAGGTACATCTCAATATTATTTCACTGCTTCAATGGAGTCTGGGAAAATATTATGTAGTTTGTTAAAGGCAATACAATTCCAAGAGGTTTGTATTAAACTATGTTAATATTCTAGTATAATTTTATATTCAGATTTAAATAGAATTAACTGTAATTGAGTTAAAATGTATATATGTTAATGCCAGAGCCCTGAAATATACTGTTCTTTAATTGTTCCTAAATATGAGTAATAATCAAATATAGCCTATGTTAGTCACAGATAAAATATCTTTCTAATGGTGAAAGAATTTTAAAATCTATATTTCTAGTGGTTTTTTCATGAATCAAATATATATAAAATTACAAATCTATCCACTTTATAATATTATTATAATAGATAAAAAAAAAACATATTTAAAAAAAGACTTTTATTGTTGTCACAAAAACAGTTTCTTATGAGCTAAATAAAAAAAAAGTTAAATTGACAACAATGGGCTGCAGACTCAGCGTGGACCGCATGACCTAAGCCATGTGGAGCTGGTTTTCAGCTGGTTTTCTCTTCAACTTTTGATAAATCAATGTTTACACAACAGTGTGCAGTATTTTGTGCGATGTCGGAAGGATTGAAGCTAACAGTGGAAGAAGGGAAATGTGTTCAAGCTTCAGCTTATGTACCTGCTGACAATTTTACCGAGTACCACGTCAGAGAAGATGTGGATGTTATGTTTAAGGTAATGTTTATGTTATATTTAAAAAAAGGTATTTAGTGAACATGTTTTTGTGTTGCTGACAACAAAAACCCAAGTAGCCTAAGTGTTCTTCCAGACTATTGTCTACGTCCATTTCAAATTTCACAAAGATCTATTTAACAGTTTAGTCTGCAAACTTACAAACATCCATCAAATTTGGCATTTATGATATTAGGTTTGTATAAAGAACATATATGTTGTAGATAAGTATAGCAGTATTGGCCGAGTGCTTGAACATTTTTGGTTCAGCTGAAGAATCAAGTTTGAAGATGTATTACAGATGTGAAGGATCACCTTTACTTTTAGTGTAAGTTTAATTTTTATTTCTTACCATTGGTTAATTTTTTAGTTTACCATTTTACCTTAAAAATGTATTTCAATGATGTTAAACCCTCCATCTGCTTACCATTGAATATTTGAAATGCCCAATCATTTATCTTAAAATATTATAGCAAAAAAAATTTGTTAGGTGCTTTTTTAAAATTATAAACATTACTAGCCTTCGACCATTACTCCAATCGCGTGAAATAAAAAAAAACAAACGTAAGCCTATGTGTTCTTCCAGACTATTCTCTATACCTATGCCAAATTTTATCAAGATCCACAGTTGAGGCTACAAACCAACCATCCATTAATCTATTTATCCAAATTTTATTTTATAGTATTAGTTGTCAGTTGCGGTTAAGCGCCGGCTTATATATGACTAGATGTTGCTCGCGACTTCACCCGCATGAAATTAAATAATATAACCTACGTTACTCACAAATAAATTACCTTTCTAACAGTGAAAGAATTTTTAAAATTTGCCCAGTAGTTTTTGAGTTATTTCAATATGTATAAAAATACAAATTTTTCTTCTTTATAATATTACTATAGATAAAAAAAATAGTAAGATATACATCAAATGGCAATACATACTATATTTTGCTTTTAAATATGTATTTTTTATTTTTATTCTATTAACTTTAATTCTTTACAGTCTCCAACCGCAATCAGTACACAATGTGATGACGGACTGTGAGATATCAACACAGACACCGGATTCTTTGCTAGATCTGCGCGACGCTGACTCAGATGAAGTCGCCAAGTTAGTGCTCAAAGCCCCGGCGTTCCTCGCATTGTTGGCTGATTTAGAAAGATCCTGTGATGTACTGGAATTGAATCTATCACCTGAACATCCTAATGTTAGCATTGTTACCTACGGTATGCAGGTAAGATATAATAATAATAATAATAATAATAATACACATTTAATCAGTTCCAAAACACACTGCAACACAATACAACATAATACACTTGAACAAAAAAAAATACAAACGAGAAAAACGAAAACCAATCATTAACAATCAAAACTAATGACAAGAAAATTGAAGAGGAAAAAAAAACAAAATATATAAACAATTTGACAATGCGTTGCAATGCAGAACTGATAGGGCCTTTGCTCAGCTATATGTTTTGTACCCTAGGGGTAAAAACGCTGATGTTCTGCAAAAGCCTTTACATCCTCCGTACGTCAGTTACAGCAGTTAGCAATATATAAATTCATCATCACTATATCCCTACTGTGGGCTCAGTGGCTACCCTTATATATATGTCGGCTTAAGCTAGCACGATATCAGAATTACTACTACTCGAGATCACATGTGGGTGGTCATGGGTAAAGTCGGATGCCAGGAATACATTCACAATACTCCTCAGTCAGGATATCATCTATCTACCAAGCTCATATCATTCAAATAATGTTCTCGCAACGATCCCTATTTTCAGAATAATCTAAGTTCTCTCGAAAGTCGCTTGGCGGCGCTCGTGTTCTAATTTCTTCTGATTGCGACATATAATATTTGTCGTAGTTGAGGTAGGGTTAGGTGCCGATGTCAATAGTGAGTTTCCTTGTCGCTGGAGGTATGTTTCCATTCGTGGCAGTGATGGTTTCAACACCACCGTTCTCGTTCACAGCAACGACAAGTGCATTCCCTCTGACAACCACTAATGAAGTTAGCACTTCACCGGTGTAGTGAGTTCTTCCTGACTGTCACTGTAGAAGTGAGCTGCGCCGCTCGCTCGGCCCTTTTTAAATCGCTGAGTCCATCAAACGCCGACAGGCGGTGCTGACGTTACATAGTTCTCTTTAATGCCGCTAGTGTTGCAATGCTGGCGCTATTATCACCACGATGGCGCTAGTGCTGCCTCAATTCCGCAAAAACATATACCAAAATAGATACATACAATAGCCTAATGGTACGTGGTAAGGAATACCGATCTTGTGGTCGAGGGTTCGAATCCCGCCATTCGACTATTGTCGTGAACCATATCTTAGCACAAGCCTAGAGCTTATTTGGAATGGTTAAGTTAATATAAGTAAATTGTCAAAAAACTTCTAATATTTTTACCTAAAAAAATACATACAGAATTAAATAAAAGAAAACCTTGTGACATAGTGTTCCTTAACACGAGTTTACAACTTATAATGTATAGGGCCTGTCCCACCATATTGTAAATTGTCTGATAACAATATAACTCGTAAAATATGTGATGAAGATATTGGATTATGTTCCCTTATCAGACAGAGATGTCATATTTAAGCTATCTGATCCTCTATCAGCCAGTGGTGGGACAGACCCTGACCTAAGTATACAAAACCGATAAAGAGATGCTGGCTTTATCGGTTTTGTATATTGCTTTTCTATTTTTCTATGTAATTGTATTGTTAATTTAGTTGTTTTGTATTTATTATTTGTCAAGGACCGGTCTTGTATAGAGATGCCCAAGTCTTCGGACATGGTGGCAAGTTTCAGTTGTGAACGTGAAGTCACTCTCAGATATCAACTACATCATATACGACTTCTTATGAAGGCACTTGCACTCTCCTCAAAGGTTAGGAGTTTTTTAGATTTTTCTGTACTAAAAAATGTAAAAAAAAATGTTATATGTGAACTCAAAAACTACTGGGTCGATTTTAATTTATCCACAGTAATTACTAGCTTTTGATAGCTACGTTAAAGTGAATTAAAAAAAAAGTAAGTAGCCTATGTGTTCTTACAGACTGTCACCTATGTCTGTGTCGAATTTCATCGAAATTCTCTCAGTCTTTTAGGCTACAAACTCTAACAAACATCCATTTAAACTTTCGCATTTATAATACTAGTAGGAATTAAGATATAATTAATCTGTCAAAAATATACTAATTTATGAACTACCCTCAGAAAAAAACTATGTTTTAAAGCATAAAATTGTCCACATTAGTGTTTGTTTTATCTTAGTTCCTCTCAATAATATACGAATGTTTGGATGGATGGATGTTACTAAACTAGAGTTGAAACATGTATATAGTTATTTTTTTAATGCAGATAAAATTCAAATTGGTAGATTTTAAATATTACTTGTACAAAAATATATTATCAATAGATAATGGAAATTGGGAAAAAAAATTGCAGGTTGTTTTAAGATTTAGTAGCAACGGGGTGTTGTTATTGCAACTGAAACTTGAGAAAGAAGACCAAAGGCAGATGTTCTCAGAGTTCTATATTGTGCCTTTACTTGACTGAACATGTTAACTTATTATGTAACTTAAATAGGTTAATGCAATAAAATTGATTCAAAGAAAATGTAATTGTCTTATTTTCCAGTTGTCATGTATATCTATACTATTATAATAAAGCGTAAACACACACTTCTTTGTTGCCTAAGATGTCAGCAATTACAGCATATTTTTGAATAATTCTTTTTTAATAAAAAGCCCTACACTTACGTTACGTTACGCTTTAGGCTATATATTTTCACGCCATTAAATTCATTAAATATTTTGGATAAAAATCCTAATGTGGGAAAGAGACTATAAGTTGTTGCCAACATTAAGGAAGCAAGGTTGCCATGGTTTGTCATCGTCATGTCATTTTGACATTTGCAATTGATAATTTGACACATGTAAAAAATAAAATAAAATATTCATAATTTTATGCAGATGAAGTCGCACGGGATCAGCTAGTCTATACTAGTGTTATAAATCGGAAAGATTTGTATTTTTGTATGTAATGAAATAACTCAAAAACTACTAGACAGATTAAAAAAAAATGCCTATAAAGCTAGTAACTTGAATTAAAAAATAAATTCTTATGTTGAAACCTTAGTTATATTTTAATATTTTTATTTGTAACTATAGTCTATGAAGTTATTAGAAACTATTTCTTCCATCTAGTCTAGAGGTCTAGTAATAAAAATACAATATTGTGCAAAATATATGTCTATATTTACTATTTAATTACATCTTAAATAAGGAATGTTAATTACAAACAACATTCATTTTTGACGAAATAGCAAAGCGACCGCTGCACAGACATACAATTGGCAAATGGTTTGCCTACCTTTATGCCTGGTTCACACTAAACCATGACAGTTGGACAGTTGCGACGACAAGAAACACTCATTGGCGCATGTTAGTGTTTACACTCTACCAATTAACAATCCAAGCAGACTACTGACCAACTACTGGCCAAGTGTGAACCACGCATTGATGGAGTGGATGCACAGATAAAATATATTTCCCCTGTCCCCAAACCACTTCCCCTTCCCATCATTGCCTTAAAGTGGGAATGGAAAGTGGAATAATACGACCATCTACACGCACTTATGAGAGTGGACGCAGAATTACTTCCACTGCATGGCGTGAAAGTAATTCTGCGTACTTGAGTGGTCGTGGTATTGCACAGGTCGACACATTTGTCCGAAAATATTGCAGGCTATATCACTTTTAAATCAACAACACTGATATAAAAAGAAATAATTAGTGTTTATAAACATTTATAAGACCTAAATTTGTGCATAGAAAAGTTAAATTGTTATAATATGAAAAAATATACAAAACTGATGTTTATATAAATTAACATTGATTTTCAGTCCTATGTTAACAAACAGTTCTTTTGTGATATTGTTTACTAATGTTTTTAAGAGACAAAATCATGTACACAAAAATCGAATTAGAGATTTAAGCTATGATTAGTCTAAATTTCAATTATTTACATATACCAATCAACAATCATTTTATTACATTATGAACTATTTCAATTCCAACAACAATTAATTATTAATTTTATCTAAAATTTATTTTTTTATTTGAAAAACACTTATATCCGACTCGAAGGACCATCGTCATTTGTCTTGATCTTGAACATTGCTACTATATTGACAATATATTAAGAGCTAGCACATCTTTGACTAAACTATCGCACGACTACTGGTCGATTATTGATTGTTTCGCAGCCTTCAACTGTTTAGTTGCACAACTAAAAGTAGTGTGCGCACCATATAAGCTCATAGGAATCAAAACGTGACTCAACAGTTGTGCGATAGTTTAGTCAAATTGCGCGCTCTTAGATGATTTATATTAAAAATTGATTTTAAAGTCTTGTAAATATCAGTTCAGTAGCTTTATTTCGCTTCTGTTTTTCTATAAATCTAAATATAGATTCGATACAGATTTCAATTAATCCAAAAATGGATTCAAACTAGCCTTTTATATTCTAAAATACTGTTCAAGTATTTATGACTAGATTATGCTTCTAAGAAACTTAGTTTCGATTTAATTGCAATAAGCAAATGTGGGTAGTTATCCTACATACATTGACGTAATATTGGCAGTTGACTATAGAATACTTATGGAATACATTAAAAATACTTTATAACGACTTTTCTTTATTATATAAAAATATATTTCATATAACAATCGTCGTTAGGTACATATAACGGAATGTATATGTAACTTACGGAAATATAAACGTAGGAAGGGGAAGGGCGGATAACTGCACTAATTACAATAATCTTAATATATTCTATCCGTATGTTAATAATTGCCAAAAGATTCATACAAAAAAACAGCAACCATTTCTTGTAGATATATAATCTATAGATGAAGGGTTCTTACAAGTTTGACTTCACTGTCTATAAAATGTCATCTTGTAAATAACATAAAGGGCCTATCCCACCACTGGCTGCTAGAGGCTTAAAAATGATGTCACTCTCAGATAAGGGAAATTTCCATCATATATTTTACACGTCGAATTGTCAGACAATTTACAATTTGGTGGAACAGGTCCTAAGGTATTTACGAGTCTTTCAGAAGCTTTTATGCCTCACTTTTGTACTCTGGATTATGTATCTATAGTTTATATATCTATAGGTATAGCTTTACACGAATACTTCCTGATACTAAACAGCATAGCGTCTATAAATGCCTTACGAATATCCTAGTTAACAATTAAATCAAAATCAAACAATAAATATAATGAAATAACAAAATTACTACATATAATTTCCTACAGTTATTTCTTAATTTATATTTGCACTAATTAAATAAGGTATTGCACAAAATAACCTAAAAGTCAGCAAATTTAAGACTACCCAACTTTTAATGTTGCAGTTATAAATACGTAAAGTGCGCTTGCAAGGAAAAAGTGGTCCTAAGAATCCCGTTTAAGATAACAGAAATTTCGTTTAAAACATTAGATTAACAAAATATTAGTTCCGGCTTACACGGACCTAGTTGACTATCACCGCTTTGAAACGAAATTTGAGGTCACCATTAAACTGCTTCAAGTCAGTTGTAGACTCCTTTTATACTTGTCCCTATTCTGCCTCTAATTCACTTATTAAAGATTGGATTTAAATCTGAAAACGTCTAACAATTTTTAAAAGTATACGATAAAAATTATTTTCCAACACAATTCAACTAATATTGACCGATGACTAGTGAAGACGGTAGGCATAAGTGAATAGCGCTCACTGACGCCCTCCCTTCGAGCCATTTTTTAATCTGTAAACGATTGACCTATTTTCTGACAAACTCAACCGATACGCCTCTCACGGCTGTGTCCCATTTGATATTACTAAACTGACGTCAACTGACAGATGTCAGTTGTCAAAGTGACAGGAGTTAATCCGTGGCAAGGCAGTATATAGCAGAGCAAATGTTACACGAAGCTGTATTTGTTGTCCACCGCCCGCGTGTCCTGGGACTGGGACTGAGGCTGAGGCTGGGGCTGGGGCGTGTTGGCTGCGACTATAAGAGCCTCCATTTCCGCACGTCCCATTCTCACGTTACTACCAAGTGACACTCCAAGCTGAAAATATAACCTAAGTTAAAATTTAATGTGAGGGTAGTACGAAAATGTTTTTGGGTCTGCTTATGGTAAACTATCTCATTTAAAGTATAGACACACCTATTTGATGAATTTCCTTTAAAAATAAATTCTCCGCCTACTGACCATTATCTACTTACCTGAGCCATAATTTATTTAATTTATTTCTTAACTCTGGAGAATTTGTAAAATATTAAATTAAGTAATTATGAACTTTTGAATAAATTTTCAAATACTAGCAACAAAAGTAATAGCCTATGTGTTCTTTCAGACTATCCCCTACCTCTGTGTTAAATTTCATCGGAATCCGTTCAACCGTTTAGGCTACAAACTCTAACAAACATCTAAACTTTCACATTTATAACATTAGTAAGATTGTCTATAAATAACATTATAAGAAAAGAAATTAAAACAACTTACCATCAAAACACAAACAAACACCAAACAGCAGGCAAAAGAAAAATAACCAACAAAAAGAATAAAAAACAAAGCCATTCAGCAGAAAGTTTTAATAATAAAATTTACAACCAAAGAAATGTGATTAAAGCTCGAAAGAACATGAGTTCGATTTGTACAAAAATAAAAACAAAAATCATTAACTGCCAGCTTTCACTATCGAAACATTTGCACAAAACCATAATCTTAAAAAAAAAAACAGAAAAATGTTTTTGTACGTGTATTCCAGCAATGAAAACTCACAGACATACAGTCTATGTTAGTACAATATAACAGTCCATCAACTAAACATATCAAATACATCTAACCCTTAAAGGTTACGGTTACAAGCAGATATATAACCTACATTTTTATTATTTCATACAAGTCTAACTTTTTAAAATATCATTTATTATAAATGACAACACTGAGAAAATTCACCCCAAAAAAGTCTCCGGAGTTGTTTTGCCTCATTTTTAATCTTCAGATTATCTATAGTTTATAAATCTATGGTTAAAATTAAAGCTTATATTAACTGGCAATTAAATTCTACGTTTGGACTTTACTGTGACTCGGTTACCATAGCATTATTGCAATATTCATGTTTAGATACCTTTGACAGTTCTTAAATATTCAATTTAAAAAGCAACAAAAAATCAGCCATTTTAGACAAAAAATCTTTAATTGTAGTTAAAAAAACGGGTTTTCAAACTCTTAAGTATTGCAGAACATTATTTTTGAATGTCTATGTAAAAAAAAATTTAGCAACTGTCAGAGTTGATATACGAAAGCAAAGTAACTTGAGTTATAACAGAACATAAATATACAAAATAGAACAATAAACATAAAGACAAACTAATTACATTATTGTGATTTTTCCCTTAACTATCTACTAGCCATGAAATAACTTTACGACAAAAAAAATATAAACATTTTACAATCGAAATAATAAATAAAATGCATGCTCAGGAATTAAAGATACCACACATAAGTATTCTTTTATGGTTTGTAAGTTTTGGTTTCATATTCCAATAATGTATATTTAAAAAAAAATGTTGCCAAGTTTAAAACCTACAAGTGTGATTCAATGGGTACAAAAAATATAATTTTTGTTCAATATTACCTAACTTCGTATTCAGAATTCATAATAAAACAGATTATATGAAAATAATATGTTATGCTTATAAATAAAAATAATATTTACTATACAACTATAACTGTCACTGTCAAAGTCAAATCATAACAATGTTGCCATACAAGGAACAAAAATTAACTATTACAAAACATATTGCATTAATGCATGTTGATTTTTTTTCCTACTTACTTTGGTTGTTCTGTATTTATATAAAATTACAGTTTTATTTAATTTAACTCAAATAAATGAGTATAGGTAAAATAGGGTTGTCAAAAATATTAAACATATTTTAAACTATAAGGTTTGGTCAAAAATTACTTTGAGCATGCAATAAAATAAAAATGGACTTTCAAAGATTAAAATCACTTTTTACTTATATTTCATTCAATTTATGATTTCATTTCTTTTTTTTTGTGGCTTGTTTTTTGTAATTTTTCATATAGATAGAAATAATATACAAACGAGATTGCTGAGCAAATAACTATGTACAAACTATAAGCTACAAAATTAATAGCAACATATAACAATAACAAAATTGTTCATAAGAATACCAAGTTAGAGTGCAAGTGAGACAAATGTTGATAAAAAAAAAAAACATATTAAAAAGTTCTGATATCAGTAATTAAAAATCTATACCTATATACATATAATAAAATTGGAGTGTCTGTTTGTAATATGAAAAGAGAAATTCCAGATTTCGGTAAGATGATGTATTTGCGTTGCTGATAACAAAAATCGCATTTAAAAATATTTTGTCTGTCTGTCTGTCCGCAAGCCGCGTTTGTTTCGTGTAATTTCCGAAACGGCTGGGCCGATTTCGTCGGGACTTTCATCGAAGAGTAGCTGACAAAGACAGCCATATTATAGGCTAGTTTTTTTTTTAATTCCGCGCTGTCAAAATGGCGTAACGGGTCGGGTTGTACAAATTTGCGCTAACGAAGTTTGCGGGCGACAGCTCGTCTCAAATATACGTAATATAGTTATTTTATTTATAGTAAGACCAAAATATTACTTACTTGTAAATTATAGGAAATCAAGCTATGACCATATTTTGTAAATTTATTATCCATAATATATTTATATAAACATATTTTTAATATCAGATTTCATACTAAATCTATATAAGAAAACATAACTATAATATGTCTGATTAATCCAATGGTAAAAAAAAGATATTTAATTACTAAATTAATATAACTAATTATTTACATAGAAAGGCGAAGACTTCGGTGGGATTCAAAGCCTCATACTACACTAAATATAAAGAGAAAAGGTTTGTATTTTATTAATAGAATAGTGAACATTTGTAGATATTTATATATCCTAACAATTAAAGAGTTTAGTGAAATTTGCATATTACAACTATTTTTAAAGGTTACATAAATACATTTATTAATAAATCAACATTTGTCTACTCGCGTCAAGGTGAGCCAGGCGGACCAACATTATGTGAAAAGTGAACACAACACCTAAATATCTAAGAATAGTAAATGGACTGTAAAAGTAAATGTCATTTTGTAATTAATTATGCCTTAAACCACTGACAATAAAAAATAGCCCACAGGTTTTGTAATCACATTTTAAACTCTGCAAGTGTTTATTACTCAAATATATAAATTTTTCTACTAGCATCTTAGCATTTTAGATTACATTTATTATCTGTAGCTGCTCTTTGAAGATTATCACAGCTACTCTTTGACTTATGCCATATTACAGCTATTTACTCTATGACGAGAGTACTTGCTCTATGACAAGAGTACTTACTCTATGACAAGAGTACTTACTCTATGACAAGATTACTTACTCTATGACAAGAGTACTTCCACAGTATCAGTTACTATTCTTTGCTGTATAATCTATGAGAGCACCTGGGAGTTCACTTGTCGTCTGTCATGATCCTGGCAGACGACGAACTGTGTGAGCGTGACGTCAGCGGCGCCGCCAGACTCCAGCGGGATGGGATGCGCACGGAAGTGCTCCAGCATTTCCTGCACGTTGGGGAACCAGAGGTGCTGCACCCGGCACTGACCGGTATCAGATAATGTCATACGGAGGTGTTTAGCGCGACCCTGGAATGTTTGTCTGGTATTAATAATTTATAGGAAAGAAGATTACATACAGAAATAAATTTTAGTCATTATAGTAGGAACTTTGCTATTCCAAGTCTCTCTATAGTCAAATTCAATTAAAATGAGAAATTTTCACAAAACCTATCTAAACAAATCTGCCCTTACAAGACACATTTGTTAGTACCATCAATTTGAAAATGAAAACTTTTCCAAGATAAATGTATGGACAATAATTTAAATTGTTAACTAATTATCTTACTTATGATAAAAGAGAGAGTTTAGATGGATGTATGTTTAGGCATCGTTTAGGCATAGCAACAGATCTTGATGAAGTTTGGTAGATGTAAAGCATAATCTTAAAACCATAGGCTACTTAATTTTGCTTAATTATTCCCTGAAAAGTCACGGGCAAAAGCTAGTATGACATGATACAAGTAGTATTCTAATTTCAATTAAATTCGACTACACTTCGCACATCTAAAACATTAAGTGTCAATAGCATATAGTTTCCTTACGGATTTCCGATCGCAGTTGTGGATTCGAATCCCGTTATCGACTATTGTAAACCATTCCCAGCACATGCTAAAGTAAATTAAACATTTGTGAATTAACAAAAAAATCTTACCTGGAAGTTGAAAGTGAGTACATACTCTCCCCGCCTGGTCTCACTCTGTCTGACGAGGTAGCAGCCGTGCGCGGCCGCGCCGCCCGCCAGCACGCAGGCCGCGGCCGCCGAGCGCGCCAACGTGCCGTGGAACCACGGCCACTCCGACATCGAAATACGTCCTGAAGCTGCACACGCCTCTTCCGCTATTGAACCTGATCAAATTATATAAAATTACAATCTCTATACTAATATAATAAAGTGTAAACACACTCTGTTAAAATAAAAAATAACACAAGACTCTTTTGTAGGTAACACTGGACCCGAATAAGGAGAATTTCACATTTTTATGGCCTCATACATAATTTTTATCATTAAAACGAACACAACAACAACATTAAATAAATTTATAGTTAATGTTAATACAGAATTTATTAAAAAAAATTACTAATTTTTGTTAAATTGTGAGACTTCGGCCTTATGTTGGGTAACACTGTTCTTCTTTTGAATATAAAGACAATTATAGAATAGACATGTACATGTATTGATAATTTGGGCTGTGAAGTTGGTTAACAAAATGTAGATACTGAAATTGTTGTGAAAAAAATTATTTTCTAAACTACCAACCTAACTCCCCTTCTTCTGGAGTGTCATTTGTTAAGTCAGCATTACTAGTGCTGGGTGGGAGGTCTCGACGCGGCGGCAGGTCAGGGGGCGCGGGCTCCGGCAGCCCCGCCAGCGACTCCGGCGGAGGCTGCGTGGTGGGCGCGGACCGCATACAGTACTTTATAGTGGCCAGCCACGATTTCATATCATCTACATCAGCTGCTTCTATTACATATTCCATATTGTTATCTGCCTGAAAAGTAAGATATATTAGTAATAACTTCAGTAAATTATAATAAAACTGTCACGAAAAATACTTCAGAGATAATCTAGTCTTATATGAATATTGGTTTAGATTGTATTTCATCATCATCTCCCCTGCCTTATCCTACTCCCGTAGGGTCGGCGCACCGGGTTTTCGTCCTCCAAAGCACTCTATCATCCGTCATCTCAGTCATCACTCCCTTCTTGATCATTTCACCTTTCATGGAATCCATCTGTCTCTTTCTAGGTCTACCTCTACAGATGTACCCCTCCACATTCATAACTAACATCCTTCTTGTTACATGCGATTCATCCCTTCTCATCGTATTTATAAATCTATTATTTTTTGTACTCACTCTGTTTCTGAATATACTTACATTATAGTTCGACATGACACAGATTAATTATAAAATGTAAGAAATAACTTAACTGGGTTATAATGTGTCAATCAACTAATAAAAAAAAATAGAACACAACTGAACACCAACATTTCTATGAACATACTGAGAAATTAGTAGGAATATCTTATAAGAAAACTTTGGCGAGTAACAAAAGCAAATAGAAATAACAATTCAGAAACAATATCAATTTACATGTAAAATATTTACTATACAAGCTTAGTCATTAATGTTCATTAAATAAAGACACATAAGGCCTTGATTCATTCTGTTTATAGATATATCAACTTTAAAAACATAATTCTTGATGTGATTGTATTTATTAGGATGTTTTAACAATTAAACATAAAATAGACTGTATTCACTGACTTAAACCATAACCTTTTTCAACATTGTTGTCTATGGAAGACAATGTAGATATAACTAGAGAATGCTAGGTCATTATTTGCCCAATAACTGATTTTATCTTTGTATTGCCACTGTTTACTTGTAGAGGAAATTGCTTCATAATATTGAGGTGGCTAGAGTCAGATGGTGTTTAGTTTGAACTTTGTTTAATAGTGGCTGTTACTTGAACATTTAGGCCAGTTACCCTTAAATTTAAGTATAAGTTACTTAAGTATGAAGGAGTCAGCTTTGTTTAATGGTAACTATGTTCAAGGGTTTCCTTGAAGGCCCTGGTTTAGACTGTTACTAGAATATTTAAGCCGGTGACCTTAATAATTTAAGTATGTTACTTGAGTGTGAAGGAGCCAGCTGAACAGCACAGCACAGCTGCACAGCAGAAGCCTTTTGTTATGATTTTATGTTTTCTTTAGAATAAGTCTGTTTATGTTCTTTTTTTGTGGCAATAAATACATATTCATTTATACATTCTTATTACAATTGGACTTGAATAAAAACAGGCATAATAATATATTTTATGCAACTAATGAACTAAGTTTGAATTGTATAAATTGGGTGAAAATGTTTTTATATTGATTGTAATCATATAAAAAACAACTAACCTTTAAAACAAATGTATTTTCATGATCCGGCATCTCCAAAGCTGTGGTTTCCCGAGCTTCAGATATTAAAAAACAAAACACACCACTCCTTGGCTTTTGAGCCTTTGGTGGTGAATAAAACTCTAACATATAGCCTCCAACTGTTTTTACTAAAGCTAACCTACATTTCTCCCACTTCTGTGGACTTCCAGGCTGTTCTAAGCTCTCCGGTGTTAAATAATTAACTAATCCTTCCTTTCTACATTCAACAACAATTTTCGCGAGTTTCGTTTTACTGTGCTTATTCAAATTAGATGACAATTCAACTTCGTCAGAATTTTGTTTGTGGAATAGACCTTTACCACGCCGTAAACCTTTGAAAGATAACCGTCGAAAGAATGGTTTATGTTGTGTTTTCGGAGAATCCGTGTCCTCCGAGTAGTCGCTTTCATCGTGGCCGGTATGTGTACCGTTTGGAAGCTTGTGTTGCGCTTTCAGTTTACCAAACTCAAAGTCAAATTGTTCAGTGAAACAGTCGACAAATTTCTTTAAAAATTCCTTTTGTGAGACGTTAGGTCGGTTTGAAAGGTCATTAGCACCCGTCTGAATGTAATTTAAGCATGCCTTGGCGAAGTCCTGTGCGGCAGCTTTGGCCTGACGGTCGCAGAACTCGACCCATCCGTCGGGATCGCCGTCGGACGGGCCGGCCATGGCAAGCAACTTCTTTATGAGCTCCACTTGGCTGGCGATTGACTATTGCACATAAAACATAATAACACTATTCCGATAAGCTCACTGATTCACCAATCCTTATCTAATTCTATGACAATTTCGCAATCAAAATAAAATTGACGATGCTCACAAGATTCTCGCGAAAACAAGTTTAGTTGCCATATAAAAAAATCAATGTAAACAACAATGCGTGTTAAAATTATTTTAATAAAACTTCTACGATTTTTGATTTTAATTTTTTTAAAAGTTTACGTTTGTTGTTTTCCAAAATTATTTAACAAAAAAAGTTTACTACTACTTAAAAAGCGTCATCTAGTACGATACTAGGAAAACTGTATGTTATGATGTAAGTCTTTGAAACGAAAACTAACCCCATAATTTACATTTTTATTTTACGTAGTATTCCTTATCTTAATTCCCACAATTCAATACGCTTTTAATGTCTTAACCTTAAAAATTATTCTTTCCGGGTTCGCATTAAACGAAACAAACTATTAAACTATTCTTAGTTATTCAAATAACAATGCAATATTATTGTTCGAAGTAGTAGTAGTAGTAGAGGGTTCAATTCCCATGTTCAACATTCACTATCAAGCATCTTCTAAATTATACTTCTAGACCAAGTTTCTAACTTAAACTTTTACCAATTACTTGCATTTGAATAAATTTAACCTCAAATGCACAAGAACAACTATTCGATTAAAAATAACAGTCTAACCTCCATAAATACCAAGAAAAGGACCATTCAAATACGTCATCGGCATTATACAGTCTGTGCGGGCATCGTAAAGCGCGCGCGCTCGTGTGTGTCAAATTTCCGATAATCTTATTTTGGCGCGCATCAGACACCTCGATGACGGAAATATGGGAGACATGTTGCGAACGACGCGCCCTGGGGACGTTCACCTGCGTACCCTGATGATAGTTTTATGACTCTATATTTTGCGATGATAAAAATAATGACACCTTGACCAAGTGTTACTCACTAGTTCACATTTAATTGTATGCAACTGTACGTAGTTTTTGCTCTGAGAAACAAGCGTAAGTTTTACTGATCGTCCCTGCTAAGAATTTTTTTCAGAACAGAACAGACACATCTTAAAAATAATTGCCACTAATTAGATTATAGGAGTTACGAGACCGTTGAAATAGTAACAAACTATTGGACGCAGTTTTTAAAAAAAGTCTTAAGTTAAAGACAATTAACAATAACTATTAAGATTTATTTTAGTGAACATCAGTTGAAAAGTGGAATTATAATCTATAAATCCTGGGCTCGAATCGCGCCATGTACCAATGTGTTTGTAGAACTTAGAATTTCGTATGTATTTATCGGTTTTCCTTCACCGTAATGTAAAGAGATGCGGAGAAAATAAAAGATATTTGTGAAGACCAGGAACCATTACTAGGCCAGCGTTCTTGATTATGCTGCCCCTAGAGAGTCAAGAATCTTACTAATATTTAAATGTGTAAGTTTCGATGGATGGATGGATTTGTTAAAGTTTGTAGCATAACAGCTGGAGGGATTTCGATGTAATTTGGTCTAGATGTAGAGCACAGTCTGGAAGTACACAGTCTTTTAATAAGCGCGGGCGAAGGCTACTTAAAAAAAGTTGCCTACAATCCCTAGAGACTACATAGATAACTTAAAAAATATTAGTCAGTATTTTTACACTGGTAGAGCCCGGTTTAACATATTCGCACGAATGGGCCGGCTTGCCCGGTGTAATACCGCGACCCCACAGAAAATAGGCGTGAAGTGTAAGCAATTCCGCGTTTCGTCTGATGAGTGTGGTGCCAAAGGCCTAATTTTAGTCCCTTTCCCATTCCACCTTTTTCTTAAGAGTGAAGGATGGGAAGGAAAAGTGGATTTGACGGTGGAGGAGACGCATAGGAAGGGGAAATGTCCTCTTTATGTGCGTCTCCTCCTCCGTCAAGTAAGGCTAGGCAACGCATCTGCAATTGCGGATGTTTATGGGCAGCGGTCTTTTTCCATTTCGGTGGATTTAAGTGGCCGCTTGCTCGTTTGCCACCTTGTATTGTAAAAAAAAATTACATTTTTCATAAAATTGAAAATGTTGATAATCATCCATTGGCTTCCCACCCCTAGATCATTCACTGGCAACACCCATGGTATGTACGCCGCGAAAAACATTACTCATGACGCGTCGAGTAAAAATTCAACATATTCAATTCAAGTACTCAAGATTTTTGAGTATGTTGCGTAAGAGCTCGGCCTTAGATCCCGTTGGGTTTTACGATCAACTGCAATAAACAAACTTCACTGTTTATTGTTTACAGTGAAAGTTCACTTTGAATATGTGAACCATCATATTCGTTTTATAATAGGATACGACAAGTAAAATTACTGTTGAAGAATGCTAGTTATACTCGTATGTGCGAAGTTTTAAGCCTAAGTATCGTTTGACGAAATTCTTCCCATGGCATTCTCTTCTTTCTTTCCTTATTAACTTTCTTCTGCTGTCCTTTTATATTCATTACCCTTTTGCACGTGTAAAGTTTGCAAATTCTTTTTTCATTATCTGGTCAACTTATCTGCTTGTTGGAGATGTCTATGGTAAGGGGGTCTAAATAGCTTTAGATTTAAACACTCATGCGAGTTTTTAAATTCAGCTATTATAATGCCTTGTTAGTCACTAGAAAGTAAATATTTTGCAAAAAAAGAAAGTAAGTTGTTAAATGCAGGTTAAAGATCTTATCTTCTTCTTTATCCTATTCCCGTAGAGTCGATGCAACAGGTTTTTATCCTCCACATAACTCTATCATACGTCATCTCAGTCATCACTCCCTTTTTGCTCATGTTACGCAATCCATCCATCTCTTTTTAGGTGCAGGTAAAAAATATTGAATAAATTTTAACGAAAACTTTTTTTTAGCTTTCGTAGTAACATAAAGTCGATTATATGCTTCTATTTTAAATCTATCCGATATAATCTACTAATCATGGAGCATAGTCAAAACGTTTTTCTGAAGATGCATCCGGCGCGCCTCGACCGCCTCGCGAGTGCCCGCTGACAGACAAATGCGCGGCAGGAAGATGGCGTCGTTAGCGCTGTCGTCGAGTCGGCCATAAACGTAAATAAAGCGCGGGAAGAGGGTCTCTGGATTTTTGTGTTGCGTTCGGAAATGCACTTTGTTCTTGGTTATACGGTTTGAAAAGTTATTTTCGATTTTACGACATTTTATAATATGAAAGATATGTTGTTAAATATAATGAAGGCTGAAACTACTGCTCTTGATCAATAACACGTAAAAATAAAGGCTATTCTTTGGGAACAAGACGACGTTTCTGTCATGTTACATGAAAAAAAAATCCTTTAACCTCTGAGTTTGGAATCGAATATAAACTTCTGGGTTCGTTTTCCAACTAAATCATATAACATCCTTATTGGTAAAATCGTGATTAAGAATCAAGCATTGATTCTTGTTGGTTAATTATAATAAAAACAAAATCAACCTTTTGAGATTCAAAACACTGTACGCAGTTAAATTTAAATAGTAGCGGTTTTAACAATGTAGAAAAGTTTGGTTATTGTGATAAATAAAGAATAATACGAAATAACCTCTAAATAAAGTTGACACAAACTAGGTAGACCGTACAAAAATCATCTTAATTTTGGTGTCGGTTATTTTTTGTCTTTGCCTATTTGTAACTGTATAAAATCAACTGTTTTGTATCCTGAATTAATTCGTAATTTACGACGCGAAAATGCGAACTACTTACACAAATAATAGTCAACGAATTTAAAGTAATAAATGTAAAAACGTACATATAGGTATGTTATTTAAATATGCATCTATATGTCTGTCAACGTTTCCTGATTATAATCTGTGACATTGTACAGTCTGTGCACTTTGTGACTCATTAAACTTCCTATTAGCCGGTGATTTGTTGCAATTTTTGTTTTTTTTTTAATCGTGCGCGGGAATGCGTACGTGGGATGTTCTGGAAGCGCCCGCAAGCTCCGCCTGAAGCGCATCGTCTCTTTCACTCAACATAAACAACGCTTTGAGCGAAAGAGAAAGGAGATATCGTTTCCCGCCACGCCTTGACATCCGTGCCAGATAGCGGTCAAAAGAAATTAAGAGGTTTCTTTGTAGTTTTTTTTATTATTTCTAATAGATTTAATTTTATTTAATCTGTTAATAAATTGATTTTTATTGGGATATAAACTACGACTTATTATGTCGCTACGAAATAATGTAGTTCTAGTCGAAGATTTCACAATGTAAACTTGTGTATAATTGAGTATTAACAGATTTACAATAATTGTATCAAAATTTGTTTAAATTGTTTGATATTTTAGGTTATTGTACGATATTATTATGAATATCTCGAAGCTATACAATCATAACGTTTGCATAGCGCAGAAACAAAAAAAAAATCTGCTTTTAAATTACCTACGACCAAATATTGAAACGAATCTTGAAAACTTCGCTTCATAAGTGCCACTTACACTGATGGTCGACATTTTTGTTTAAGACGCTTTTACATACTTAAATGACGTTTCAATATTAGGCCGATAGGCTATACTATATATTTTTTAATCCTTTTTAATGTTGAAGAGAGTCAACATTCGAATTGTATTTTCCGCGTGTAGGACAATAACCTGGAGGTCCACCCCTACTAGAGTAGGATAAAGACGGGGACGAGAAGATGAAGACTAATAAAAAAAAAACAGTATTCTATTTCTGCGTATCGATATAGAACAGATATCAAAAAAGTAGGTTCACTTTGATGTCTCGAAAAAACGGTGGTATAGCGTGGTATGTTGGTATGTCAATAACACTGTAAAGCCACATTAAGAGTCCTGCATTTTTTTGATAGTACTAAGGGTTCCGTGCGTTTTTTGAAAGATCTGAACCCATTTGAAGTTGGCTACCGGACTTTTGTACATCATGATATCGTCCTTTAAAAAGCTGGAAACCGTTTAAAAAGTATTCCACCCTATTTGCTAGCGGGTGTCTACCATTGACTTATCGCCATTATCTCCCAATATAATTACTTTCCCATTGGGCCGATTGATCGAATCGGGACCAACGAGTAACGCGAAATGGGCAATGGATTAATGATGAATAAAAAAAGAACGAAAGGAAATAGATAGCGTCAATAAACACATAATATGATATGATGATTTATTTTTAATCTGAATCTACAAGTTGAAAAAAATATGGATTTTGTAAATAATTATCGCTTTAAAGTATAACAAAATTATTAATATTGTTCTTGTTTAGCGATTTTTTTTAACAAATACTCTTATTTAAAACGCTTACATAGTAAAAAAACAAAATCACAGCCTGGTATCATCTATCTATACTATTATAATAAAGCGTAAACACACACTTCTTTGTTGTCTAAGATGTCAGCAATTATAGCATATTTTTGAATAATTCTTTTTTTAAAAAAAAGCCCTACACTTTCGTCACGCTTTAGGCTATATATTTTCACGCCATTAAACTTAGGGGGCAAATATTTTGGATAAAACCCCTAATGTAGGAAAGAGACCATAAGTTGCTGCCAACATCAAGGGAGCAAGGTTGCCAAGGTTTGTCATCGTCATGTCATTTTGACATTTGCAATTGATATTTTAACACATGTAAACAATAAAATAAAATTTTCATAATTCTATGCGGATGAAGTCGCACGGGAACAGCTAGTATATTATATGTGCCTAGTTCAAATGAATTTCTAAACACCCTGAAGTAAATTAGAAACTAGCACATGTGAAATCCATGCCAATACATTCAATCATGCGCCTGCGCAAGTAAATAACTCCTTATTTATTTACATTAGAAAACTTTGCGTCGGCGGGTACCGATTTTGCCACTTTGAATATTAAATGACAGGACATGTCAAGCTCGCGTGTACAACTCTGTTATATAAAAAACATACAGACGAATTGAGTACCTCCTTCTTTTTGGAAATCGGTCAAAAATGAACATTAAGACCTACACTTGCTTACTTACTTATGTATCATGTGTGTAATTTATTAAAACAGTATACATTTATAATAAGGTTTCAGTTTTACGTAAATCTCAACATGAAAAGTGCTTGTGTAATTGTAATTTTCCCCCTTTTTTATATAACATAAGGTGGTAAACGAGCAAGCGACCACCTGAAACCGCCAAAATGGCGACGCGACCGCTGCCCATAGACATCCGCAATTGCAGATGCGTTGACTACCCTTATCCGACGGAGGAGGAGACGCACATAAAGAAGATACTTCCCCTTCCTATGCATCTCCTTCACTGTCAACTCCACTTCCCCTTCCCATCCTCTCCTTATGAGAAAAGGGTGGTAAGGAGTAAGGGACTTAAATTAGGCCTCCGGCACCACACTCATCAGACAAAACGCGGAATTGCTTCCATTTCACGCCTGTCTTCTGTGTGGTCGTGGTATTACACCGGGTGTGCCGGCCCATTCGTGCTAAGTTATTAAAGCGGGCACTACCCCTGGCGAATAGTGGCAAAATTTAGTACGACGGCTTTGCCTAGTCTATTTCTCTACAGTCAAAGATGTTGCCAGTTAGCTTGTTTATAAGACGTGCTGACAGACAAGCGCACTCGTTCACTACATACTTATATAAACAGTATACAGGTTAACGATGGACCAGGTATATATGGTAAAAATAACTTTACGCTCGTAAAGAAGTCAGTTTCGGGTTGGTCCAAATGTATGGCGTAAGCGGTTCGTTAGAATTAGCTGCCGAGAATCCTTCAATCGTCACTAAGGAATACGTTTACTGTTTTAGTTTGAATAACATGCACTAAGGAACAGTGCAAATGCACTTTAACCAATGCATTGTCTGTTAAAATAATTCACGTATACATTTTTTTAGTTTGTTTCGGTTGCTTATTACAAAATATGTGTGTCTAAGTTAAAACAATATATAGAGATGATTTTTAAATTAGTTAACTAGCTTTGATCCGCGACTCTGTCCGCAAGGAATTAAAAATAACAAAAGTAAGTAGCCTATGCGTTCTTCCAGACTTTCCTCTACATCTATGCCAAATTTCATCGAGATCCGTTAAGACATTACAGCAACAAACTTTAAGAAATATCTACCCATCTAAACTTTCGCATTTAAAATATTACCAAGATACTTTTAAAATATCAATGTTAATGCTACGCTATATTATCAAATAAAACACCCCTAAGTTACAATAAAAATCTGTCTAACAGAGTTAAAAGGCAAAATTATTGAAAGTTACAAGCATTGTACATACCTTCTGTAAATAAAGCCGAAGGTTGGGCGGTAGGCGGTGTTGGGCGTTGTTAAGGCGGTGTTGGGCGTCTCTGGGCGGTTGCGTGGTGCCGACGCGCGCCGACGACAGAAGCGTTCCTCTCGCGCCGCGGTCTGCGCGCGCGCACCGCCTGATTAACGCGCGGGAAAACTTGATTTATCACGTCGCGTTGAAAAAATAAATCGGCGGGTGACCGGGACACGTGATGGAGGGCCAGGAGTGGCGAGACGAGTGGCACCAGCCGCGTCTCATGGATGGTCAGTGCCTGCGGTCTTATTTTTGTTTTTTAATCGATAGCACGTATAGGGTCCAAGGAGGTTGGGATTTACCAGCCAGTGCTTTTTGCTTCCACTAAGGAGGTTCTGTGTGTATGTTAGATTTCTTATTTTATTCTTATTCATGCCAATGATTTTTATTATTTTTTTTTGTTACTATCAACAATTTAGTGACGGATAGAATTATTTCTGCTGATCTGCTGACTAGTCTAAAAGTAGTAGTGATATCTGAAGTACATTTTTTAATATTAATAAAACATAAAAGAAATCTTAATAACTATATATATAAAACATTTAAAAGGAAAATCGAGGACGATTAGGCGTAGGTTATTGTACAGTAATTAACCAAACGATTCAATGTTTTTTTTCTTGATCCGAACAAATCTTTTCATTTTATGAATTTTTTAACTTAAAAGCTATAAAATTATCTGTAAAATTTACACGACTAATTGAATTCAAAGTTATACTTAAATGTTTTTAAAAGTCATAGTTTATAACGCGGCAATCGCAAATATGATTATCTTTTAATTACCTTTTTGTCTAAAAGTCCTATTTGTAACTAGTGTTTAGTGTATTTTTTATAAAAAAATAGTTTTATAGTATTTACAATATTTTTATGTTTTACTTAATCATGTCATATTCATAGCAAAGCTCGCTGGAGTAGCAACGGCAAGTAAAATAGACATTTACTAAGTTTAAAAAACTAAATTTAAAAAAATGGGAACTAGGAATTGCGTAAATATTTTTATGAATGTCTAAGGATTTTTGGTTTGTCCTTTTCCTACTTCTTATGTTATTGTCAAGTAGTATTTTTAAATTTCCATTAAAATATAGTAAAAACAACAATAACAAAAATGATCATGTCCAAATTCACATAAGACTTTAACGTAACCTTCAAAGTATGTAAAGGAAAAAAAAAATAGAATTCTTGATCGTAACTTTATCTTTAGGATAAAAACATATTTACTTAATAAAGCTCGTTAGATACTTTCAGCATGTTTACTTATCTAAAAGTAAGTTTAGTTTTAACTTGGGTAGGCAAAACTTTAACTATACAGTTATTTCCAAAAAAAGGTGAAAAAAACGGTATTAATCCATCAATGATTTATAAGTTTTTGTAACATCTTGTCGGCTTCAACATTGACCATAATATCCTTTAGAGCATTGTCCACACCTAAAACTAAACTATCGCACAACTGTTTAGTCGCGATTTGATTCCTGTGAGCTTATATGGAGGTGCGCACACTACTCGTTTTTTAGTTGTGCAACAAAACAGTTGAATTGGGTACGAAACAATCGACAATCGCACAACAAAATCGCAAAATAGTGACGTATGCAATACAAATGTGTCCTCTATTGTCAAGAAACTCTTGAAAAACCTTAAATAACTATAAAATACTTTGTTATGGAAACCCACTACCCGCTCATAATAGCAAGTACCAATGCAAATAACATTCACATACCGAAGTATAGTCTTGGCGCATGCATTAAGGATTCCTCGCGTTCGAAGTACTAGTCTGTTCTGAACGTTCATTCATCTATCTGTCAGCGGTAGAGCACGCGTTTCCCGCGCTCTGACGATTGACAGCCGACGTTCAAGATGGCCGCTCGCGTCGTGATTTTTGTCACTGTCACTAATATGCGCATACGCATAGACAGATTGCGATTAGCGAACGAATTAATCTTCTCAGTTTATCATGCATTAATTATTCTGGATGAGTTGAACAGCTGTGCTATACATTTACATTGATAAACTCCATACATTTTTTTTGTAGTGAATAAAAAATACGATAATCTTATGCTGAGTTACAAATCTCTTGAAAAGCTGAGGCATAACCTCACTAGCTTACAGGCAGCGACGCATCTATCGGTTACTTAAAAATATTTTGGTATGCGGACCACCCACTCTATACTAATACTATAAAAGGGAAAGATTTGTAATTTTTGTATGTATTTGATTCATGTAAAAGCAACTGGACCGGTTTTTAAAATTCCATCACCATTATAAAGGTAATTCTGTGAGTAACATAGGTTATATTTTTTTTCTTATTTCTTAAATTTCATGAGGACTAAGTCGCGAGCAATAGTACCAAATATTTGAACAACCAGTGACTAAAAATTATTATGCAATGCCTAAATGAAGTAATAGACTGTTTAAGTTTTTTTTTAAATAACTTTGATTTGATTAAATGATACAGAGTACCAACCTAACGAAGTATAGTGCAAATAAATCTTTGCTAAAACAACATTGTCTTGAAGTATCATATTCGTGAAGTAGCAACATGTCAATTTAGATTGATGACGCGACGTGGTGGGCGAGGTTTTTTGTGGTAATTATGCGTAGGATACCGTCACGTCGGCCTGCCCTGACAGACTGAATACCATTCTAATAATTTACTAATTACGCAGCCTGTTAATGTCTTGTAAAAAAATATTTTTAGAATCATCAAAATAAGCTTGTCCAAAAATCATTGAAAATTATTATTGACTAGAAAATACGCTGTTATTTAATTCATTTGCATGATTAATACAAACATACAAAACAAGTTAATTAAAAGGTTGGTTAAATAGTTCCTATTTAATTCTAATCTGATTCCAATAGAATCTCTTTCCCTAGTTCTGCGCTCTCGCTTGCAAGCCCAGCTCAAGCGGAACGTAAGGGGCCACGCTTTTCTATATTATAAATGAAAACTTTGTTTATTTGATTGTAATGAATAGGCTCAAAAACGACTGGAACGTATTAAAAATTCTTACACCATTGAAAGCTACATTATCCACAAGTAATTACTAATGTTTAGGTTAGGTTAGGATTAGGTTAAAAAACCACCAAATTTTAACTTTTCTCGTCTTAGCTGTCTAAACCGTTATGGTTTTTAAGACGTTATTACGTCAAAGAAACAGTTATCCTGGCAACCCCAGTAATTACAATTTTTAACAAGGGGTAATTCTCAAACAATATTGATAATTCCTTCAGAAAACCGGCGCACAAACTTGACAATTTGCCGTTATTTTTAACTTGGAGTTTGCAATTCTTTATCGGTTGAACACATGGTTAATGAAGTCGAGTCGAGTGTTTGCAGTAAATGTGCGTATTCCTGTGTTAAAAAAGTGTAAGATTTATGTCACACTTGTGCTGAAATGTGGAGATTTTATATTTTTAAGTTTACGGTTTTGTAGTTTAAAATGCTAGAGACAAAGTGCGTTAGTTTATTTGAGATCCTACGACTGATTGATTTCAAGAGGTCAGGAGTCCGACGTAATTTTTGTCAAGTACAAAATACTGAAAATAGCGTGTATAGAACTGGAAATGAATGGCGTCGGTAATTTACAATTACAAAAGTCTGTCTATTTTTTTCGGAGAATTTAGTAGAAAATGAGTAAATATAGCGTTCTGTTAATAATTTAAAATACATCATTTGCATAATAAACTAATAGATGTCAAACACTTTATTTTTCTATGTTAATCGCAAACAATACTAGCCGAAAATAATATCATTACTGAATAAAAAAAAACAAGATACTGGGTGAAAATGCAGCCATTAAAAAAATAAAATAAAAAGCAGCTAACAGCTGTCAAATAGTCGCCAACGGAAAAAAATAACACATCGCAGACTCCCTTCCTTGCAGATGGTACTATCTTATCAGGACATTTGTAAATGTCGTTCATAGTTATGACGCTCGTAAAAGTGATAGTTTAGCCCTTTCCTGGTAACACTTATGAGAAGAAATGCTTAACTCTATATTCATAACTGGCGCCCGTGATTTCGTCCGGAGAGGACGACGATTTAAAAGTGTTTTTATTAATAATTCAAATAGATTTTACTTAAAATAAACCCATGATATTTTTTAAAGTGCTTTAGACATTTAGGAAAATGCTGTTTTTCGCCTACGCCTCATTACTTTAGAAATACCTGTGCACAATTGCCTTAGTAATTAGCGCAGTAGGAAGACCCAACGGGAAGTAAAATTGTGTAGAAAAATGAGAAAGAAAATTTTCCAAGAGGTTTCTATGAGAAAAAAATATAGGAGTATCTTATTAGACATTGACTATTGTCAAATCTCCACATTATTAACCTCGAATTGTGAAGCCAGATGAGAAACCAACATTTTTGAATATCTTTTAAACAATTTGATTAAAGTAAAGCATTAAAAAAATGTTGTAACTTTTGTTTAAAAAATGTTCAATAAACGTTTTTGTAGTCGAATATAAACATTAGCCGGTTCTCATGAGGATTAGCGGATGATGTTTTATCATAAACACGTGTTGATTGCCTCATGCAGCCAACAGACTTGCGAAACAATCCTTTAACGCCGTCAAGTTTATACGGATTTAGCAAAAAAAATGAGAAAGATGATGCAATTTTATTGTTACAAGGTTGCAATATGTATTGATTGAAAAGCATTCATTTGCATAAACGAATTTGAATTTATTGCCACAAAAAAGAAATGACATAAAAGGACTTTTTCTAAAGAAAACATAAACTCGTGGCAAAAGATAGCTAGCTTAGCGTATGCAGGAGGGACTAAGCCGTTTCTGCGTTGTTTTTCAGCTGGCTCTTTCAGACTCATGTAACATATACCTTGATTATTAGGTTACCGGCGGTAATTACATATACAGAAAACAAAACAATAATACACTTTCGAATAAGGGTATCACAAACCAGTATTATCTTGTAACGGTTTAGTTTTCAGATTAAAAAAAAATCAGATCTACATGTTTTTTGTAAATAGCTATTTTGTATGTCTCCTATTATAATAATCTTTAAAACATATTTTATGGACAATAATTTTACAGTGGTAGAGCCCGCTTTAACATCGCACGAATGGGCCGACTCGCTCGGTGTAATACCACGACCACACAGAAGACAGGCGTGAAGTGGGATCAATTCCGCGTACACTCTGATGAGTGTGGTGTCGGACGCCTAGTATTAATCCATTTCCTTTCCCACCATTTTCTTATACGGAAAGGATGGGATGGGACG